AGCCTTTCCGAAAAGCCAAATAGGGCCTGGACCCAAGCGCTGGATCCTTCTCTGAAAACTGTTTCCTTTCAGACATGCAAACAATTCTGCATCTTCCAGGCAATTAGATGGGAAGGAAGGAAGGAAGGAAGGAAGGAAGGAAGGAAGGAAGGAAGGAAGGAAGGAAGGAAGGAAGGAAGGAAGGAAGGAAGAAAGAAAGAAAGAAAGAAAGAAAGAAAGAAAGAAAGGCTTCTGTGTGTCTGTTAAGTGTTCTTCTCTCCTCATGGTGGTTTTCTTTGGCCAAGATGAAATGCTGGCTTGTCTAGTTGGAGAGAGACAATGGAGGGATGAAGGAGGTTAAACTAGGGGAAAGGACCTTGAGGGAAGGGAGAGCAGGTATTTCATTTTTGGGCGATGGCTGCCCCCAGCTGGTCAAAAGATATATGACAGTCTTCCTTCTTCCCATCATCATCTTGGCAAGCCCAGATTTCAAAATAGTCAAATTCAAAGTTTTTTACTTTCAGTAACTTCTCTTCAAGGCTCGGAAGACACTGGACAGCCATTTATCTGGAATGGCCCAGGCCAGGTCTCGTGCTTGAGCAGGGGTTGGACTAGAAGACCTCTGAGGTCCCTTCCAGCCCGGCCATTCTATCTTCTGTGTTCTGATTTTATTTTCACGGCGAAATAAGAGCCGCATTTTCCTCCTTCAGCTCTTGATTGAACCAAATCCAAGTTGATGTTTGATGAATAGCCAGATTGCAGATTGTTTGTTCCCTTTTATTTTTTATTTTTTTGTCCCTTCCAGCTTTTTAAGAGCATCTCTCAATTATAAACATTTCACAAGGGAGAGAATGACTTCATTCCTTAGGGGCTTTTCTTTAAAAAGAGGGAATTTTTCCCCCCCTTCGCTTGTAAAAAAGGATGGAGCAATTTCTACAATGAGTTTTGGAAGGCAAAACAAATCCTTGCTAATAGCATTTTTATTGATTTTGCTTTCTTCAACACAAAAATAGCGTAAGTCTGCCAAGGCAACCACAGGGGTTTTTTGTTTTTGTTTTTGCACGAATGGGGTGTTGGGGCTTAGAAGGAGGTTACAACAACCCAGCAGGGTGGAACGGTACCCAAACAGCAAATTTGTAGACTGGTTAGAGCCGTATAAGCAGCACAAAGGAAGCCCTCAGTTCACAACCATCCGTTTAGCAAAAAAAAGTGACTTGCAACCAGTCCTTGCACTTATGACCATTGCAATGTCTCCTCCCAGTATTGTGTGATTGCAATCCAAGTGCTTGGCAATTGACTCGCATTTATGACAGCTGCAGCATCCCGCGCTCCTGTGTCGCCGTTCGCAGCTGACTTCTGATAAGTAACATCGGTCGGAGAAAGCGGATTCACTTAATGTCCATGGGGGAAAAAGGGTCGAAAAATTGGGTGTGATTCATTTAATGACCAGATCGCCTGGCAACTTACATTCCAGTCCCAATCGCGGTCATAAATCGAAGACTACTTTTTAATCCATGTCTCTGTTGCGGGTTCTAGTATTTTTTTCTTTGCAATTTTGCAAAAAAAAAGTTCAAAAGGGCCATTTGAACTCGTAAACTCGACGCAGGCATATTCTTCTACATGTTACATACATCTACGTTCCATCCTGGAGGAAAAGTGGGCTTTTACCCTCTCTAAAGATGGCCGTTCCTACCTCAACCCTGGCCTACTGTTTAAATTTCTTAGGAAACACAGCACTGAAGGCGGTGAAGGACCTAACTAACCCTAATCCTTAGGCGATTAAGAGATTAACTGAAATAAAAAAAACTGAAAAAAGCTTCAGAGTTAAGGTGCTCCTACTAGGCTTGGAAAGGACTGTCAGTGAACGGTGCCCAAAAGAAAGATGGCGACGGTGCTCAAGGCGGGGATGAAGTCCCGTCGGGAAAGGAGGTCCTGTTGCCTGGCAACGACGGAAGAGAGTGGGTGTTCCCCCGTTCTGCATTTCAATTGGGCAATTTTACCGGAAAGATAACGCCGCGGAAGGCGGAAGTGCTGCTGGGGAGCAGGTGGGCTTGGTGTGGTGGGGGTCCTGCGGCTTCTTCCATGCGAGCCCGACGGGTGAGTGGAGCGGGCAGTGGGCGGGGCCTCTCTAGCCGCGATTTGCATATGGATCTATGCAAATCAGGCGTGCAGAAACTGCGGGGTGGGGGGCGTATGTTAATTTATGCAAATATATGCTAATATTTTGGTAAATGCATGGTTAATCATAAGAATATTTTAGGGTAATTATGTATTAGAGATTTTATATAACATGTGTGTATACATATATATGTATATATATATATATATATTATACACATATTAAAATAATCCTTATTAGGCATGTTTATGTACACACGCACATGCTATAATTTAAAAATATAAATCAATAATTCTATTTATAATTTAAATTATAATATACTATAAAATCAATATATTAATATACATATTTATTATGATGTATTTCTGTGTACATTAGTAGCACCCTAAAAAGTCCTTTTCATAATATGTGAATAGATATTTACATCAATATTAGCCTAACCCTGAATAAATCCATCGGCATAGGTGCAGTTGAAGACTTCTAGTATTGCATGAATTAGTAGCCTAATGAGCATATGCTAATGTTGATGTAAATGCCTATTGATCTACATGAGCAATAGCGAGGCAGGCTTCCCCTTCCTGCATTTGGGGACCTCTGAAGGGCATCAGGCTGGTCTCCATTGGCTTCTACGTCCGGTTCTGATTTGCTAGTCATCCCACCAGCAATTTAATAGCATGCCGAATGATAAAAGAGTTTGAAGGGACCTCGAAGGTCCTCCAGTCCAGCCCTCTGGTCAAGCAGGAGAGCCTATACCACTCTGGACCAAGTGGCTGTCCAGTCTCTCCTTGAAGACCTCCAATGATGGAGCACCCACGACTTCTCACCGAAAGGAAATTTCTCCTTATTTCTAGGGTCTTTGACGGACTTCCTTTCTCCTTCTCCTTCCGCAGGCTCCTTCGCGCAACGGGACCACCAGGCGTCCCTCAAAGAAGCCGAGATGTGAAAGGAAGCGCCTGGCCAAGCCAAAGACAGGACCTCGGGTGGGGCCGGCGGATGAAGCCCACTCGGGAGCATCCACCCTGGACCTGGAAGTGAGGCTGCAGAGCGAGGAGGAGGGGCCTTCAGAAGACCCCCAAGATGTAGCCGAGGAGGAGAACATGGAACCCAGGAGGTCTGAGGTCTTCCAGACCCACCTGCCACAGGAGGTGGAGGAAGAGGAAGGAGGAGAAGAGACCGGCACGGCTGGTGCGTCCTCCTCTTTGCAGATGGAGCCGGAGGAGACATCCAGTCAAACCGGCGAGCCGGACAACAGTATTTTCTTGAACGAGGACAGTAACCAGCCGCTGCCGATGGACCGGTTCTTCGGAAGCGTGGCGTTCACGCAGGTAAGGGTGGGGGCGGTTGGCCTTCTGCAAGGCTGGCTGGGGCATTCTGGGAGTTGGAGTCCACAACGTTGGGGGGGGGGAGGGTAAGAGGGAAAAGAAGGCCCTTGTTTCTTTGGAGCAAACATGGCTGGCCAACTGAAGGACTCAACGGTTCGTCCTCTTTAATTTGGGGGATCGAAGTCCATACGAATGGAAGGCTGCCACGTTGGCCCCGAAGGCCATCAACCGGGGTGTCTCTTTCTTCTAGGACCTCCCACCGGCCTCCTTCTCGCAGACCAACACCAGCAGACGGGAGTTCCGAAGGATGCATTTTATTGCCAAAGAGGAAGATGAGGAGAGTGGAGAAGAGGTGGTCTGAAGGCTGAAGACCAGGGATTCTCACGGAAGGTTGTTTGAAGGCCAGCGAGAACCAATCTTGGGTGAATTGTCCCTTTTTCCAGATGCAGTAAAGACTAAAAATGTTCCTTGCCATTGTAGCATCTTCTAGAGTTTTGTGTTCTTCAGAAAGAACCATCTTTGTGATGGTGATGGACGTTGGGCTGCTCGCAAACCAAGGTGCCTATTTCTGGTGGAGTCCACGGGTCACAGTGCTCACTACGACCATGACGACAAAGCCTTGGACTTGAGGGAACGACAACCAAGCACCCAGAAGTTGTGGGCAGTCCATCACTGGAGGTCTTCAAAAAGAGATTGGACAGCCATTTGGCCAGGATGGAATAAAGACTCCTGCTTGAGCAGGGGGTTGGATTAGATGACCTCTGAAGTCCCTTCCAACTCTGTTATTCTGTATGCTTCTTTCCCCAGGCGTATCATTTCTCTCTTTATCTAAAAGCTCATTTTTTAACCATATTCCGAGTTTATTCAGAGCTGTTTTGAAGTTTGTAAAACCTGGCTAAGCTGTGGACTGCACATTAAAACCTGGTTTATGCTCTTCTGTGAACAGAGATGTTGGAGGGGTTAAAAAAAACCAATGGCAGATGTGTGGGCCTTCCCAGTTTGGGCACATCTGCCCCAACTATGAATAAAAGGATCTATTTTAGAGTTCAAGAAGTGGCCTTTTTTTTTTTTACAGATACAAATGTTCACAAGATTTTGCTGCCTGCTGCCTTAGATTACCACCACAATACTAAAGCTTTATTGCTAAAATTAAATAATCACGATGAACGAAAGGAACTGCTTTCATCCCTGAAGCAGAGTTGGGGCACTTAGATCAGTAATGACGAAGTAAAATTTATTATTTATATAATCTAGTTGGCAGACACTTAAATCCAGGAACAGGTCCAAAACTGGATGAAAACATGTCAGCGCCTCCTGCCCATATTCTTCACAGCTGGAATGATAAGAGGAAGTTATCGCTTAAATCATGGTAGGATTCCTCCCGCAGCACCGTCTGTAACTTACTAAACCTGGTTACTGAACAAACCTAGTTTTTCTGGGTTCACATGACCCATCAGACCCTGCAGTGAAACAATTCCAGCTTGCCAGAGGATTTCCCGACATTTCCAAAGGTGGCTAACCAAGTTGCAGCCTTTAATGAATGGAAGAGGCGGGAAAAAAACAGCAACAATATTCACCAATTAATTTCTGTAATTTTTAAAAAATCTTGTTTTTTTATTTTTAATCTTTTTTTTTAAAAAAATGGAATGGAGTTAAAAGCAATAATTTAAATAACAAAAATGGCTCCCTGGCCAGGCAAACTCGATTCAATAACTTTTGCAGGGGTTGTTAAATAAACGGCACAGCCGTTAAGCGGATCCCTTCTTAGCTATGGGGTGGGGTTTTTTTTATCATCTTATTTTTAGGAAGTTTACCGTCGGTTTTTTGTTTCATTTTCGACAACTGAACCCGGGGGCTCAAGGCGCGGCTGCAAAGAGGCCTGCTCTTCCGGCCTGTCTTTCGTTTACGGTAGATTTTTGTTCGGTCGCAGCCGAAGTTGTGGACCGTTTTCTTGTGGCACACAATGTGCACCAGTTTCAAATTGTCTGTGGTGAACATGAGCCGGTAAAAATATTCCCAGTCAATTTCCTTCCCGTCGCAGCCTTTCACAGCCTCGACTAAGGTGGGCAGGACCTCCCGTTTCTTCTCAATTCTGAAACAGAAAGGAAGGTTACGTATTTTCAACATCCTTGATGTTAATCCAGGGCTGTTTGTAATATCTTGAGGACTAGCGCCGAATCGGTGCTGCGTGAGGCCAGGAAAATTCCGACTAAAGGGGCTACAGAAATGGCTCGGCTGCTGTTGTTTTAAGAACGGAAGAGCAACAAGAAGTCATTCAGCCTCCTGATTCCTGTCCCTCAACTAATTGCCTCTTTTAAGGTAGACTGCGCTGGCACATGGAGTCCCTTCCCAGCCAAAGCAAAGCTATTCAACTTCCCTTCTAGAGTTAGTCTAGCCTCTTTTTTTTTTAAGTTAAGTCTTCGCTACGTACTTATTTTCATGTTTTTTTCAATCAGTGGTTCTCAATCTGTGGTCCACGGACCCCCTGAGGGGCTGCGATGTCATCACAGGGGGTCTGTGGATTTTGATCATGATGCTGCAACAGTCATAAGTGTGAAAAACAGTCGTAAGTCACTTTTTCCAGTGCTGTTGTAACTTGGGTCACTAAACGAACAATGGTTAAGTCCAGGGACTGTTGCAACTTTAAACTGCCGCTAAGCAAGCAGTCGTAAATGGAAGACTACTAATGAACTGTCCAGAATTGCTGACAGGTGGCATCTACATTTAATAAATAATATTGATGTTTCTTTTGAAATTCTTCCACATCTCTACTCTACGCACAACAGCCAGTTGTCCAGCTGGGTAGGTGGATCCAGGGAGCTTAAAATTCAAGGAATATTTTTGATTTACACACAACTGATCCATCACCAGGAGGGGCCAAATATAATGACCGGACGAACGGGGTGGGCTTGTGTTCCAGGACTCACATGTGGTCGAGGTTCCACGTGCTGAACAGAATCCGGCTTTCTTTGTTCCCATAAGGGTTGATGGAGTGTCTCCAGGAACAGTCTTCGGTGTCAAAAGGGCCCTGTAGACAAGGGGCACACAAAGCTGGATACAGGGAGTCCTCAACTTACAACAATTCGTTTAGTGACCATTCGAAGTACCGATGGCACTTCGAAAAGGGACTTAGGACCATTTGAATGAATTGTTGTAATTTGAGAACTGTAGGTTTTATTTTGGCATTGTCGCTATAGGTTGGAAGAGTTTGCCTTTCTGTAAAGCCAGCGTGAGCAACCCTGTGCCCATGGGCAGCAGCCTGAAAGACCCTCCCTCTCCTCTGCAATGCCTGACCTTTCAACTTCAGAAAGCATCGAACCAGTCAATGCCACTCGAAAAAGAAAACAAAAATGCTTAATGCCTTTGCTTTTATCTGTTTGCTTTGATTTTCTTACAACTTACTTGGCAAGAGAACCAGCCTTCCGGTGTGCAGAGGCGGTCCTTGGTCTCTTCCTTCCGGTCAAAATAAAAACCATTATATTTCTCCAACTTCAGTTTCTCCAGCATGGCTTCAGCGATCCCTCTGAATTTCATTTGGAGGGCGGGAGGGACGGCAGAAATGTAAGCCCCAACCTTTGGAGGGAGAAACGCAAGCTTTAAATATCTTATTTAAAAATATTATTTAAAGATAATTGAGCTTGTCAGTCCGCTCCCAAAAGCAAACTTCATGGTGTTTTTTTACAAACCAAGCTGAAACCTGAGAGATTAAATGCTAGTTCAAACCCCGAATACGAATGGTGAAAGCAAACCAAACTATGAAACAGGATGGCAAAAATGCAGGGAATGATGGAGGCTGCCTTGCCCATAACATAAAAGAAAAAAAATTCCAAAGCATCTTAAAAAGATTCGTGTCTATATTATCAGGTAGCCTTTGTGAGTTGCAGTCCACAAAAAATACACCTATTTCCATATAATTAAGAGCACAATATGGAAAGTTAGAATTACAAATGTTAAAGATATTTAGTGCAGTGGGTGTATCAAACTGCTTCACTTCGAATTTTAAGCCTTTCTTTTTTGATTTAATAAACGAGATAGTAATTCGCCACAAAGTAATCATGCAAAAATAAGCAACTCGTTTGACTGTTAAGTGCTAATTGGTTCACTCATCGAGGAAAGAGCTAATCAATCATTTGCTGAATGCCTAATCATCATAAACAATCATTGAGTAGTATGGTAGGTATGGTAAAGGCAGACTTTGTTTCCAAAAATCTAAAATAAAGACTGGGTAGGGAGTTTTGCAAGCCACGTTACCTCTTTCATGTATCCACGGATTCTGCTCTCACAACTATGGCGCATATAACTGGACTTGGTCTTAAACCGAGATTCAACCCCTAAGAATGGTGGGAAATGAATGCCATCAGTCCTCTGCTTTCCCCAAAAAGATTCTTGGAGCCACATTCCAAACCTAAGTGAGATTGTCAAGTTTCTAGTCCTTAAGGCTGCGTTTCCCAAAACTCTCGACATCCTGAGCATTTTCACCCACAGACCAAACGTCAGGCAGATGCACGAAGGCATAAGCTGAGAACTGACCTTCAAACCACATCTCGTCTTCCTTTCTGCTTTCTGCAGAAATATTTTCGTTGAGGTTCTGAATCAGATCAGACAGCAGTTTGCACCTCTTAGGAGCCTCCTCGCCTGACAGGAGCCCCCGAGCTGCGTGGACCACGCCAGAGGAACAGCTGGAGAAAGCGCTCAGGAAGCGCTCGATCTCACTGACGTCTGCCAGGAGAAAAAGACGAGAAAACCAAGGATTATCCATTCTGGCAGATGATTAGCTTTAATGGCAATCTCTGTGTGTGTGTGTGTGTGTGTGTGTGCGTGCGCATATATATCAGTGGTGGGTTGCCCCTGGTTCAGACCGGTTCTATAGAACCGGTAGTAAAACCGGTGGGAGGCTCCGATGTCATCAGGATGCTTCTGAGCATGCACGAGTAAAGCAAGCACACACGCTTGGGGATATGTTGTGTGTGTATTGTGTGTATGTTGTGTCTGGGTATGTTGTGTGTATTGTGTGTATGTTGTGTGTATGTTGTGTGTATTGTGTATGTTGTGGGTATTGTGTATGTTGTGTGTATGTTGTGTGTATTGTGTATGTTGTGTGTATATTGTGTGTATGTTGTGTGTATATTGTGTGTATGTTGTATGTTGTGTGTATTGTGTGTGTGTTGTGTCCCCACCACTTACATCCCTTCCATTCCTCCCCGGGCCGCAGCAGGATGAGCTCGGCGTCCTCGGGCAGGGCACGGAAGGCCTCCTCGCTGACTTGGGCGCCGTCCTCGTAGCAGCCCAGCCGGCAGCCTTCGACCAAGGGCGGCTGTGGGGAAGCGGAAAAGCCCGTCAAAGGGAAAAACCCTTAAGACTCCCACAGAGACGCGCCGCTCGCTCGCTCGGCCACCCTCCCCGCCCGCCCACCTCCAGCAGGGAGGCCTTCCGCAGCAGCTCCGCGAGGCTCCCGGCCGCCAGCCCGTATTTGCGCCCTCCGGGCCCGGCTCGCACTTTGAAGGCCTTGGCCGCCATTGCGCCGGAAACCGCGCCCGGCCGCTCCTGCGCCCTGATTGGCCCGCCGCGTAGCGAATCCGTGGTCGGGTCGCAACGGCGCACGCGCGGAAGGACCCGCTGCGAGCGTCCCATTCGCTCGTTCGCCGGTCCTTCCCCTCCCGCCCCGCCGGCCGCCACTGTGCCGCCGCGCTCGCGCCTGCGCAGTCGCGTCGCAGCGGTTGCTAGGGGAACAGAGGCCCTAGTGATGGAGCCGGAATAAAGTAGGAGGCGAGGGGGGCGAGAGGGACGGAAGGGGCTCCCCTTCTCTTAGGCTCCCATCCCCAACCGTGGGGGCTGGGGAGGGGCTCCCTTGGGGAGGGGGGAAAGGGGCGGGGCCTCTCCCGAGTGCGGAGGCCGGTGGAACTGCCCGCGACTAGATGGGGGCAGCGGGGGGGGGGCTGCGTTACTAACATTGGGATTTATGGCTCTTCTTAACCGGGATGGGGGAGGGAAGCAAAGGCGGACCCGAGAGGAGCCAGTCAGAGTGATGTGTGCCCCCCTCCCCGTTTTGTTCCCCCCCTCCCCGCAGTCGTCTTCATGGTGGTGGTGGACGCGCGAGCAGAAGAGGCCGCCCCCGCCTGCCACGACGGACGGATCGGCTCCAGGTGGGCTGTGGGGGTGGGGAAGGGGGACGACATGCATGCAAGCCCAGAACATGCAAAACATGTCAATTTAATGCATGCAAAACATGCCAATCCAACCTATGCAAAGCATGGGCATGCAAACACAGCACATGCAAAAGCCATGCCATTCCAGGGCATGCAAAACACACGTGGAGGCAAGCCCAGTACATGCAAAGCATGCCATTCCAACGCATGCAAAACATTTGTGCAGGCTAACACTGTACAAGCACAATTTGTTCAATTTCTGTAGCTACCCCAGAGTCACTTTTTGAGAGGGACAGCTACGGAAATCAAACAAATATTTTCCCCCTTTTTTTACTATCTTGTAGTTATAATTCAGGGTAGACTTAGAGCAGCTGAATGGAGCTGAGCGTTTACTGGCCAGATGCCCTTCCTGATGCCTACAGCAGATAGTTGGCAGCAGGTATTTTCTCTTTGTGCCCAGAGAGAGAAACATCTGCTGCCGCCTAAGTCTCAGCCTTCACGAGTGGGAGGCGGGAGTCTTCACTAGGCCACCACGCCGTTCAAATAAATAAAACATGCCAATCCAATATATGTAAAAAACATGAGTGCAAACGCTACATGCAAAACAAGCCAATCCAGTTCATGCAAAACACATGTGCATGCAGACCCAATACATGCAAAACATGCCAATAATTTATATTTTCAAAGCACCTCTGGGTGACTCACAATAATATGCAAATTCATTGGGTGCAAATATAAGAAATGCAGATACGTGTGCCCAGATCCAAGGCCCCAAATGTGTGAAGGGCCCTGTCTTCTGTTTGCTTTTATTTTTACTTATCATGGCTTGTTTCCCACAGCTGCTAATTGAGTTGGGCAGTTGTATAAACAGATTGAATAAAATCAATAAACAAAAGACAGCAAATGCGAATGTTTTGAGATGGACCTTTGACTAACTTTCAAAGTTGCTTGCATTCAGAGCGCAAAGTTAAAACGCCATAATCTTTGATGGTGAGAAACCTCTCCTTTGGTAAAAAGTTGTCTGCTCTTTCTTCCCAGTTAGCACAAGAGGGCAGGATGCCACACAAGATTGGGTTTATAGTTATAAGTTCATCTGGACATGAGGACGGCTTCAGTGCCAAGGAACTGATGGTTCACGCGCCAACGGTCAACGGATGGAGGTCACCAAGGTCAGGCCCTAAGAAATTCTAGATATTTCATGTGTCCTTGGGGTCATCTTGCAAGAATCCAGAAAATTTTCTTTGATTTAAATAAATTGAACAACTAAATAAATTTATATACAGCCCCTCTGCTTTCCACAGTTCAAAAAAAGGTTCTCCCCCCCCCTCAAAAAAATGGACAATACAGCAACTAGAAAAAATTACAATTTCTCAGTCAGAGAACTTTTTAAAAACTGAGTAGCGTGTCTTTCATCCCCACTATTAGGAGATCAGAATTTTAAAAAGGTCATAATTCAAGCCCAAGATTGTAAAGCAGTCAGCCAAGAAAGTTTCCTCATAAATCATAAATTTCATGCATTTACGTTTAGCTTTCTAGGTTTTTAAAGTCCTATGGCTACAGTATTTTATGTAGTGTTAAATTTATCCACATTGAATTAGGTATATTCAGATAGCTTAGGTTTATAGAGACGTGGGGGTTTCTGACATTTTATTTTCCTTGCTTTTTTTCCTTCTCTCCCTTTCTCCTTCCTTCTCTCTCCTTTCTTCTCTCCTTTTTCTCTCTTTTCCTTCCTTCCTTCGTTCCTTCCCCCTGGTCACTAAGTGTAATAAAATATTCCCTCCATTTCAACCTTGGCATGAGAAATCAAAGACCTTCCTTTTTCTTTATTTTCAGACTCTGCCAGTATCCCCAAGAAATAGTCCTCCAGATGGTGGAAAGGTGCAGAATTCGAAAGCTGCAGCTCCTGGCTCACCAATATATGATTTCCAGCAAAATTGAGTTCTACATCAGCGAAAACTTGCCCGATTATTTTGCGCCCTATAAAACAGAGCAATTCCAAAGATTGGGGTGAGCTTTCTCTTCCCTGACGTGTGTCGGTTTTCCTGCCTGAGTCCCTCAGAGGGTCACCCAGCAGAAGTGGGTTGTCAGTGGGCACATGGGATTTGTCCAGCTGATTCCGGATCAGACCGACTGTAAAAGCAAGGCACAATTCCAGATAAGCAGCCACAGTTCCTAAAAGACTTGTTTGTGAATGCTGGCTGACCCTTTGCTTATTCTCCTTTCCTTAGGAATTTGAGAGAATTTGTGGATAGTTTAGGATTTCAAGCCAATAATTTGAAATTTGGGGTGTGTCTGAAAAAGACGGAGGCCCATCCAACACACGCATACAAACCTATTGGCAGCTCACTAATTCATTCCAGGCATCCTTTTCTTAGAACATAAAATATTGAGCGTCCATCAGCGTCAAAGGGTTCATAATACTTGTCAAATATAATCTGCATTAAATCTCTTTTTTTCCCCTCTTCTATAGTTATGTCTCCCTTTCCGATAATGAAAAGACCGGCTACAGAGCCCGGGAATTGAAATCGGTCTATGTGGATGCGGTTGGCCAATATCTAAAGTTGACTTTCCACAAAAACTACGCCAATCGGTACAACCTGTACAGCCAGGTAAAAACTGGGTCTCTCTAGATCAGTGTTTCCAAACCTTGGCAACTTTGAGATGTGTGGACTTCAACTCCCAGAATTCCCCAGCCAGCCATGCTTGTCCATCTCCTGCCTGCCAGAGCAGAGAGATTGCAGAGAAAGGGATTATAAGAGAGGACACTGGGGATACACATCAGAAAGAATGCATTGGTGCCAGGGAATTGGGAGTTAAAGTCCACATTTCTCAAAGTTGTCCAGGTTGTGAAACACTAATCCAGACACATTGCTATCATGGCGAAAGATTCATATTATATTGACTGTTTCCTAATATGATTTGATTGCTTATTTGTTCCCTATGACTATCATTAAGCTTATGATTCTTGACGAATGTATCTTTTCTATTATGTACTCCGAGAGCGTATGCACCAAGACAAATTCCTTGTGTGTCCAATCAATTATTCTATTCGATTCGATTCGATTCGTTCATGGCAATAGTTATCCAATGTCTTTGGAAGCACTAACTGAAGGGAAGACAGTATAAAAATCATCAAATTTGATGGTAGTATTCTGACTTTGAATGGCCAAAGAGATCCTGTTTATAGGGTCCACAACCTTGCCTGGAAAAAAATAGAAATTATTAAGTTTCTTATTAATAAAAATAATTAATATAGAATGTAAAGGTTGGCTTTCCTACGCAGAGAGTTAAAAACAGAGTGATTGGGAAGTAGTTAGTTGACCCTGTTTCTGTTGCCCGTTGGGATTCTTCTCTTGTTTTCTTGAAACAAAAGGAAAGATGTCAAAAGGCCTTTGAACCTCAGCTCCCTTTTTCTACCTCTTGTTTCTCCAGGTTGCTCTCGTGGCAATAAACATCATTGGGGAACCTGCAGATCTGAGCCATGAAAACAGCCAGGTGCGTCTGGGGAATTTTGAGGGAGGGAAAGCAAAAGGCAAAGAATCCCTTTCCTGTTTACTCCCCATTAAACAAAGATTTGCAACTGTCGTAAGTTACCACTGTGAAAGGCAGACTCACTACAGTCGTAACTCAAGAGGTAGCAGTGTGCAGGTAGTCCTTGATACAGGTGTACAGATAGAGAGGCCATAACTCAAGGACCACCTGTGTACTTGTGTATAAGTAGTCCTCATCTTACGACCACAATTGAGCCCAAAATTTCTGCTGCTGAGCGAGATAGCCCTCAAGCCCCCTTTTTCGACCTTTCTTCTTAAGTGAATCACCACGGTTGTTAAGTTAGCAAATCGTCGTTAAGTGAATCTGGCTTCCCCATTGACTTCGTTGGTCAGAAGGTCGCAAAAGGAGATCACGTGACACACACACACACACACCCGGGCGCTGCGACCGTCATAAATATGAGTCACTTGCCAAATGTCTGAATGTTGATCATGTGACCCTGGGGACGCCGCCACAGTCGTAAGTGTGAAAATGATCATAAATCACTTTTTTCAGTGTCGTCGTAACTTCAAAGGGTCAGTAAACGAACTGTTGTAAGTCGAGGACTGCCTGTATTTCGGTGTTGCTGTCATTCGCCCACACTGTGCCCATTCTAGTGTTCTCTCTGTTGTGGTTTTGTTATCTAGTCTGCCAAGGAGAAGCTGATCGACCACTACCTAGGGAGCAATTCGGATGACTCGGCCCTTGAGGGGAGCTACCCTGGGTGAGGACGGCCTAACGGGGAAACCTCTCCATGCCCGTTTTCCTTCCTTCCCTCCCTACCCACACCCGTCTGCCCACCATGGGCACGTGGCACCGTCCCAAGCTGCCATTCTTCCCTTCATTCCAGGAAGGCCGACGCCATTTCTCCGCTGGACGATCTGGCTTTTGACATGTACCAGGATCCGGAAGTGGCCCAGATCATTCGCAAGTTGGACGAGAAGAAGCACGAAGCGGTGCACCTGGAACACTACGATCACGCCAAGAAGCTCAAGCAGGCCATCGCAGATCTGCAGAAGGTAGTGGCGGCCAAGCGGGGAGGGGAAGGGTCCTGGTAGGAGACATGGAAAGGGACTTGGCTGCCTTGAGGTCCTTCCTTTCTCGTTCTCTTCAACATCTGAAATGCGTGAAGGCTTTTTTCCCTTCTGGGTGTTGAATATCAAACGCTGCTTGTTGGATTGGGGTAACTCAGTTTCTTAAACCAGTCGTGGTTTAGTTTCTCATGGCTTTGAATGCAGATTTGATGAAAGGCCAAAGAAGCGATCCCCAATTCATGCATTCATTTAATTATCCATCAGACATTCAGGCACCCATTCGCTCTGTGTTTTAGAAGTTTTCTCTATCGTGACCGACTGCCCCCACGCCGGGCTCATATTTCAGGTCGGGGAGCGGCTGGGACGCTACGAGGTGGAGAAACGGTGCGCCGTCAAGAGGGAGGACTATGACTTGGCCAAGCAGAAAAAGCAGCAGATGGAGGACTATCGTCTCAAGGTCTATCAGCAGTTGGAGCTTCATAATCTCTTGGACCCAGAGCTCGCCGTAAGTGGGGCATCCCCAGGAAGGAATCCCTAGGCACCTCTGGAAGACAGCTGTTTGGGATCCTGGGGAATCTCCACCCACTTAAAAAACACCCACCCCCATTAAAAACTATTCTCTCTCAAGACTGATCAGGAGTTGGGATTTATAGGATTTTGATGATCCATGGTTACTTTAGATCAAGTTTGGCCACTTGAAGATGTGTGGACTTCAACTCCCAGAACCTATTAGAATAATTTAGGTGACAGGGAGATATGCACTGGGGCCCCACCATATGCCACAGTAATGTGGTAACCAGAGTTTCTCAACCTTGGCAATGTGAAGATGTGTGGACTTCAACCCCCAATTCTAATGCATTCCTTTTGGTGTGTATCCCCATTATAATATGCTTACTCTCTTCTAATCCCTTTCTCTGCAATTCTCTAGAGAGAAATAAACCATCAGAGACTTTGCATTCAGCTTGTCTCTTCCTTGGGTTTTCTGAAAAGCAGAAGGAACGAATGAATGAATGGTTGGATGAATTTCTCTCATTCACTCAGATCCGGCGACTACCTGACTTGCCACTCGACCCCGTGGCTCAGCCCACCACGACCCTCCAGCAGAAGAAGCCCCTGCCGTCTCCCTGGCGGGAGAAAGCTGAGCCAGAGAGTCCTGCCTCGTTGCCCCCCGAGAAGCCCCCTGAAGTCCCCTCGCCTGAGCCGGCCCCCCCTCGGGTCTTCTCTCCCCCGCTGGCCCAGGCAGCTCCCATTGCTGCAGAAGCTTTCCCCAAGATCAATGTAAGTTTGGGTCGACTCTTTCCTGCTTCTTTTGTCCCCTTTTTTCCAATCAAGGAGGTTGGGTGGTGGGGAGGAGGTAAGGACAAGAACAAGGCTGGACTTCCATTCTGTAGAAGAGACCCAAGTCCCAAGACTTGGGGCTGAGCAGAGATGGAAGGTCTGATTTTTCTTGAATATTTCCTTCCTTCCTGCCCTCCTTCTTTCTAGTCTCTCCTTCCTTCTTTCTTCTTTCTCTTTCCTTTTTTCTTCTGCTCTTTTCCTTCTTCCTTTCTCTTTTTCTCCTTCCTTTCTTCCCTCTTCTCTCTTTTTCCTCTCTTTATCCTTCATTCCTTCCTTTCCTTACCGAGTTCTTGTGGGAGAACTTTTTCCACAAATATCTCCTGCCCTTCACATCTCCGGCCCTCGACACAAACCTTCCCTCCCATTCTTGCTCTGTGTAAAAGATCACTTCCCCCTTGGCTTCCTCGAGAGTGCTGATGGGGGGATTCTGGGAGCCACACCGAGGAGGGACGTCATCCGGCCACCCACCGTTGAGCCCGCATGGCCCTTCCCTTCCAGGTCGAGTTCTTACCTTACGACGAGCGGCCCCTCCCGGCCATCCGCAAGCAGCAGGAGGAAGGTTTCTCCTTGCTGGAGCCCGAGATGAATGAGGAAGAGCCCGGAGACACGCCCAGGAGCGGGGTGGTTGGCGATCCGGAGCCTCTGACGGAGAAGGCCCTGCGGGAGGCCAGCGCCTCCATAGACGTCTTCGGGGAAACTCTGGTAAAGAGGAGGGGCAGCTCAGTTTAGGGGTCAGGACCAGGGGTGGGTTTCAAATTTTTTTACTACCGGTTCTGTGGGCGTGGCTGGGGAAGGTTACTGCAAAATCCCCATTTCCTCCTCATCAGCTGGGACTCAGGAGGCAGAAAATGGATGGGGGCGGGGCCAGTCAGAGGTGGTCTTTACCGGTTCTCCGAACTACTCAAAATTTCCACTACCGGTTCTCCAGAACTGGTCAGAACCTGCTGAAACCCACCTCTGGTCAGGACCAAGGGGCCTCTTGAGCTCCCCGACTTTCGGATGAGAGGGAGAGAGACCGGACAGGATGACCCAGGGGCACCCCCAGGAGCCAATCGGGGGACAAATTTTCAAGAGAAGATGGCAGGGAGCCATGCACAAGAGCAGGGAGAGGAGGGGATCACATGATCCTGGGGACGCTGCGACCGTCCTGAACCAGTTGCCAAGGGTCCGAATTCCAATCACGCGACCCTGGGGAGGCTGCAGCAGTTGTAAGTGTGCAGTGCGGTCCTAACTCACAGTTTCAGGGCCCTTGTAACTCTGAACAGTCACTGAACGAATGGTCGTAAATTGAGGACTACCTATAGAAGTGAGGGAAGGAACTTACCCCCATGAGCCATTCTCGGCCAGCTATCAACTTCGGTGGAGTTGCTGCTCTCCAGCCACGTCCCTCACCTTCCTTCCTTCCTGCCTGCCTTGCTTTCCCCAGGTGGCCGGTGCCTATTCCAAAACCTGGTCGTATCGCGAGGACTCATTGCTGGCCATCTACAAGAAAATGACGGAGGCTCCCACCAGCATGCCGAAGGAGGAGCTCAAGAACGTGCTCCGGGGGGCCATCTTTCTCGTCGTGAGGGCCATCAAAGATATCGTCTCTTCGGTGAGTCAAGGTGAAAACTGGAAGGTAGAGAGGGAGGGTCACCTGTTTATCCCACCGCCCTGGCTCCCCAAAGCTCTGCCCCATCCCCTGGCCTCCTCCTGTTCTGACCAAGGCTTCCTCAGGCAGTAACGATCACACGCTTAGTCCCAAAAACCTTCTTTTTATTTCAACGGCTGCGAATTACGTTCATTCACAGCTCGTAATGAGACCCAGGCAATTTGTGAATAGTCCGACAGAAGCCTGCCACAGACTTTCCGGATAAGGCTAAAAGCACCCATCTTTATCTCCCTTAAAAACACTGCCAAAGACCTAATTGGCAATTAGCTTTGCAAGGCCAAACAGAGCACAAAGTCAAAACGGAGCTTCAGAGTTTAAACCGACCAGAACGTTGCTTCCTGCAAAGGCTCATGTCCCTTTGCTCTTCGTTTATGTCTTATGGGAGGGGCCAATCATCTCCAAGCCTTACTCCCGAGTCGCCCCTTTTGTCTTAACTGTTCTTGCCTTCTGGCAGCTCTGTGCATGCACGCACTGGGAACAGGCTCCCCTGTTCCTCTGCTTCACTGACGTCAGACTCTGGAGGCTCCGGAGTCAGCACATCACTCCCAGACGGCCCTGGCCCCCTCTCTGCCTCCGACGCAGAGCCCTCGTCCAAGCCTTCCCCAGACTTCCTTCCCAGCCTCCTCACTGTCCGACTCCGCTGCCAGCTCCGCAAGCCTCTGTCGGATCACAACACCTGCGCCCTGCTTCCAGCTGACACTAAAAAGAAAAGCAGGTACTTGAGGTGCCTTAAAAACCTGAAGTTGACTCACCTGGATGGTTGTGTGTTGCTGCTTCCTTTCTTTCAGGTCTTCCATGCCTCCTTGAAGCTCCTGAAAATGAGCATCACGCAGTACATCCCCAAGCATAAACTGGGCAAGCAGGAGACCATCTTCTGCGTGGAACGGAGTTTTCCCAACCTCCTCTCCCGCACGGGGGACTCCTCGGCCCGCCTCCGGATGGCCACTGCCAACTTCATCCAGGTCAGTCTGCCTGCAGGGAAACTATGTTGGATGACGATTCTGCAGCCCGTTAGCTGACGTTCCATCCGCCAAGGTAGCTAGAGGCTTGGTCCTTTATGGTGATTTCAAATGGGGTTTAAAAATTCACCATTTTTCTTTTTAACATTCTTGTCTAGTTTGGTTTTTTTTTTCTCTCTCTCTCTCTGTTAATTTTTTTTTTCTGTTGGATTTTGTATTTGGACCTTCTGAATAATTTTTTTTTAAATGAAAAATGAAATTAATTTCAATGCGGTTTCATACATTTATGATTTCATTTGAATGTTGTAAGACACCTAGAGTCGCCTTGTATATAATAAATAAAGAAGTCCTTCGAACGGTCACTAAACAAATGGTTGTAAGTCAAGGACTACCTATACATCCTAAATAAATCATTTTATGCTGACAATCGAGCCTCGTAGTTCAGGAAAACCTGGCTGCCCCCCCCCCCACCGACCAGTAACCCACCCTGCCTTTTTGCAGGAGATGGCCCTTTGCAACGAAGTGAAGCCTCTGCAGATCATCCCTACCCACCTGGTGCAGCCGCTGAGGTCCAACTGCCCCACGCACCTCGCCATGAGCCAGGTGGAGTTGGTGGAACGCTTGCTTAAACACCTGGGCACCGAAAACTCTGGCTTCACCGTCGATAACGTCATGCGAGTAAGAACTCTGGGTCCCTATAGCCTCCTACAGTTTATTCCGAGATTTGAGCCAGATAACAGGACTTTTCTTGTCAAATGTAACACGGGCCTTTCTATTTTCATTCTTTCTATCCCATCACAACCAAATCTCTCTTTCTTTGGACATTTAACAACCGGTGTTTCTCCACCTTGGCAGCTTGAAGATGTGTGGGCTTCGACTCCCAGAATTCCCCAGCCAGCCAGCCAACATAGTCATTTATTTATTTTTCTCCCATCCCCTGGAGAGGAGAGATTGCAGAGAAAGGGACTATAAGAGAGTAATCCAGCCACAATGGGGATTACGCATCAAAAGAAATGCATTAGAATTGGGTGTTGAAACCCACACATCTTCAAGTTGCCACGATTGAGAAACTTTTGATTACCAGATCACTGTGGTGTATCTTGAGGTGCCCCCGGCCATCTTTTTTTCTTGTCGCTCCAGATCCTAAATGATTATGCTTAGATGCTCACATTTGAGCCTGATCGGAAAGCTTTTCCCTCTCAGTTTGCGACAGGAGCTCTGGAGCACCGCGTTTTCGAGGTGCGGGAAACGGCTCTCCGGATCATCTTGGACATGTATCGGCAGCACCGAGACAACATCCTGGACTATCTCCCCCCTGACGACGCCAACACCCGCAAGAACGTGCTGTACAAGACCTTGTTCGATGGCTTCGCTAAAATCGACGGGCGACTCACGGAGGCCGAGCTGAAAGTAAGGGAGGAGCCTCCGTAAGGATTTTGCCCTTTTTAAGGGGTGAAAAGCCCTGGCCTGGTTCTTAGAAATCCAAGTGGGTGGCTCACGCGGTGGGCGTGTCTTGAGTTGGCTTCACCTAGGCCAAGTTTGCTAGAAAGGGAGTGGAGGAAGAGGAAGAGGAAGAGGCAGTGGGGTCCTTGGTACTCTCTGAGCTTGGTGGCTTTCCTATAGGCGTTTCGTGACCCAGCTAGGTGACATCATCAGTGCTAGAAGGAAGTGGGGGTTGCAGGGAGGAGTGATGCTGGCTCGGGGCTCCATGGCTGTCAGCTGGTTGTCTCCCCAGGCCCAGAAGAAGGCGGCCACTGAGGAAGCGGAGAAGGAGAAGAAAGACGAGATCAAAGCCTTACAGGGCCAAGTGGCGGCCCTAAAGGAGATGCAGGCAGAGGCCCAAGCCGACAAGGTATCCCAGGGGTTCCAAAGATCGTCCCGCTGGCCAGCCTGGGTCTCGCCAGATGTGGCCCTCCAGCACATCTGTGGGCTGTCAGCCGGAGAAGGGCCGCTCCGGCCTCCTGCTCTTACTCAGGGCAGCCCCAAATTGTCAGCTGCCATGCAGGTTTCGGGGGTACCCGATGAGACACACACACACACACACACACCTTTTTTTTTTTTTTTTGTGGTCTTGTTAAGTAAACTTGGCTCTCCACAAAGAGAGCCAAAGAGTTTCTGTTTCTTCTGACTTCCTTAATTTCTCTTTAGGAAAAAGACCGCGATTTCCAGAAATCAAAAAATCAAGGTACTGCTTTTTTTAAAAAAATGCTTTTGTAAAGCATCTGAGGAGCGTTTGCTGTGACTAAATTTGGGTACTTGGCAAGTGGTCAATGCTTACGGAACCCTTCTCTCTCTTCTCCTTCTCTTCCAAGCTGAAACGTCCAAGAAGGCTGCCCAGCCCGTCCCGGCAGATACTCTCGATGACCATTCGTCGGTCACGAACTACCTGGACAAGTAAGTAGCTGGTGGTTCCTTCCTCCTTCCTTCCTCCCTCCCTTCCTTCCTTCCCTCCCTCCCTCCTTCCCTTTCTCCTTCTTTCCTTTCCTTCATTTTTCCCTCCTTCCCCCTTTCTCCTTCCTTCTTTCCCTCCTTCCCTTTCTTCTTTTTTCCTTCCTTCCTTTCCTTCCTTTTTCCCTCCTTCCCACTTTCTCTTTCCTTCCTTCCATCCTCCCTCCCTCCCTCCTTGTCAGGCATAAAGAATTAGGACCACACATTAATCTCCAGTTAAGCTACTTTATTGCTTCTGCACAAACAGCACTAAGCTGACACTAGATAAGAGTTAACAGAATTCAAGAGGGGTTCAGAGGATGCAGCTCCCGTGACTGAATTTGTGGTTTTTTCCCCCTATTCTCCCTCCACGTCAGCCTGTGCATCTTTTGTGGGGAAAGGGACGACTCCTTCACCGAGGAAGGGCTGGACCTCCATTACTGGAAGCACTGCCCCATGCTGACCAGGTGTGACTTCTGCAAACAGGTGAGCCTTCCCTGAGCGGCTTCCCTCCTGGAGTTGGGGGTGCTCCGTCTCTGGAGGTTCCAGGAAGAGATTGGAAAGTCCAGGGTGGCCTACAGATTTTCAGCAGCCTCCCCTTGGTCACGCGATCCAAATTAAGACGCTTGGCAACTGACTCATAGTTATGACGGTCGCAGTGTCCCAGGGTCACGTAATCCCCTTTTGCGGACAAAGTCAATGAGGAAGCTGGATTCGCTTAACCGTGTTACTAACTTAACGACTGCAGGGATTCACTTAAGAACTGTGGCAAGAAAGGCCGCAAAATGAGGCAAAAGTCAGCTAACAACTGCTCTCGCTTAGCAGGGGAAATTTTGGGCTTGATTGTCATAAGTCGAGGGCTACCTGTAAGGTCTCCTGCTCGGACAGGGGGTTGGAGTAGAAGACCTCCAAGGTCCCTTCCGGCCCTGTGATTTTAAGGCCATTCTTTACTGCCTTGTAACAGAATCACAGAGTTGGAAGGGACCCTGGAGGTCTTCTAGTCCAACCCCGTGCTCGAGCAGAGGAACCTAAACCATCCCAGTCAAATGGCTGTTCAGTCTCTTCTTCAAAACCTCCAATGATGGAGAACCCACAACTTCTGGAGGGTGGGAAGCCCCCCCACGGATCCCTTAGTCTGCCTTACTCATTTTGCAAAACAAAATACCAAACCTATTTGCAAACCGGTCTAGGAATTTGGGGAGAAGGAAGTCTGGTCAGTGAAGGCTAGTTGCTAACAGAGACCTGGCCCCAAACAGTTGGGAAGGCAGGCCTGGCTCCTTTTGGGGGGAACAGGGGGGTTTTCCTGCCAGCCTGGGAAGACACACACAGAGAGAGACAGTTTGCCATCCTCTCAAGCCGAGGCTGCCTTCTCTTCCCTCCTGGGCAGGTGGTGGAAATCGCCAGCCTGACCGAGCACTTGCTGACGGAGTGTGAGAAAAAGGACAACTTTGCCAAGTGTTCTCGTTGTTGCGAGGCCCTGCCGAAGGACGAGCTGCCCCGGCATGTCAAGAGCAGATCTTGCAACCGTAAGTCCTTCGTTTATGCCCGTACGCGACATCCTTTTGCATCCAGGACCCTCCCCTGTTGACGTTCTCCCTCTCTCCTCTCTCCAGCTGCCAAGCCTGAGAAAGTGGCCAACCGTTGCCCGTTATGCCACGACAATTTTACACCGGGCGAGGAGGTGAGAGCCGTGGGCATTAAGCGGAGGGTGTTGATGTTCAAATTAAGAGGGGGGGGAAACAGGGGAAGGGTCCTCTTCTTGTCCTGGGCGACCAAGGACAATGCCTGACTTGCTTTAAGAGGGGAAGGTAGTGTGGGGACAATCCAGCACACGGGCAGAGCTACAGTTCTCTATATTTCCACTCTCTCTTTCTTTTTATATTTCTACCTTGCTTATATTTCTCAATTGATCAAAATTCAGGGGCTTGGCAACCGGCACTGGGGGGTTGTGAGCCCATCATCCGTTGCTCCTCCTCTCTCTTTGCATCGTCGCTGTAGAACCTCTGAACCTTTCTTTCGTCCTCTCTCCCCCCCACCTCTCCCCCACCCCACCCACTCTTCCCCCACCCCCACCCAACGCAGGCCTGGAAGGTGCACCTGATGGGCAAAGACGGCTGCCGCATGAACCCGAGGCGCACGCATTCCCTGAACAAGAGCCTGCCAACGCAGGCTGTCACCGGTAAAGACCCCTCTCGTGTTTCCCCCCCTCCCCCTCCTTCATAAACTGGGGTGCCCTTGTTCCTCCCCAGAAATCAGGGCTGCAAAACGCACACAGCTGGCACTTCCGGCGGGGAATCCATGTCTTATAGTGCAAGCTTGCCCAGAGTTCCTGTATCAGAGAGATGGGAGAGCCTCGAAATTTAAATGATTAATAATAACCACACGATTCGCTTAACAACCAAAAGATTGTGGAATCCAGCCAGACTGCTTTCCTGTCCCAGTTGAGGTCGTAAGCCAAGGAGTGCCTGTAATTTCAGCTACACACACACACACCACTGGTTGCAGACCCTGAAAGTTGGAAACAGCAGCCCCTCTCCCCTTCCCATCTCTTCCTCAAAAGCGGAGCTAAACTCACACATACATTCTTTTTTTCCCGTTTTCTTTTAATTTGCAGGCCGGGCTGGCGGAAGCGTCCTGAACCGGTCGGGGCCCCTGGGAACGAAGCTGCGGTCGCCCACAGTGGGGAGCAAAATCCCCACCCCTCGAGGAGGCTTGAATAAAAACACTGGCAGAACATATGCAAAGCGATGAGGCAGGTCCCTTCTTTACCTCCCAGGGGCCACGTTTGCCTTCTTTCGCTGCAGTAGGTCTTACGGTGATGGGGGGGGAGCAGTGGCAGCCCCCCAGATTCTCTGCTAATCGCTCCCCCACCCCCATTTACGACCGCTGCAGTTTGCTCTCTATGCAGAATCACAGAGTTGGAAGGGACCTTGGAGGTTTTCTAGTCCAGCCCCCTGCTCAAGGCAGGAGACCTTACAGCATCCCAGTCCAGTCTCTTCTTCCCCACAGCTGGGATAACCTAAGATTGCACCACTCAGATGGGTGGTGTATAAATTTAACGCATCTATAAATATTCCCTGGGAGAGGAACTAAAACCGAAGCACAAAATAGATTAGAAGTGACTATCTCTGGAAGATAGTTGACTTGTCAGAATTGTTGCTTAACAGTAGGAACCATTAAAGGGCTTTTCAACACACTCGCACTCTTCCCTTGGAAGGCAGGCCAAACAAAGCCCTGGCCAAGGCCAAACTCCACTCCTGACCCCCAGCGTCCCGTTTTCCCCTTCGCTCAGACTATAGCAAAATCTGGAAAAAAAAATTCCTTGCATGCTTGATTGCTAAGGCTGTGCGGTGAAAACCTCAAAAAGGAGGAGGGGAAAAACCCCGGCAGCTTTTTGGCTTCACTCTGGCTTTTTATGCCTCAAGGAGTGGAGTGGATGGAGTGAGTTACTTTTGATGCCCCAAAAGTCGTCAAAATGGAATTCGCTTTGTTCAGGATTGCAGCCCCATTCAGAGAAAAGGGCAAAGGAATCAGTATAAAAAAAAAAAATTCCCTTTGGAAATAAAGGAAAAGCTTATAAACAATTGAACAAGGGAAGTAGAAAACAGTCACAGAATTTACTTTTATTTATTTATTTTTTTAAAAAAATCTCTTCTTGGTCTTATGCTTCCAACCCTCAATTCAAAAAGACGGGCAGCTTTTTTTCCAAAACAAAATGCATCTCTTTTTTTTAAACAAATTGATTTGCATCTCCTTTTGAGATGTCTTAACCAAGGGCTTCTGCACAGGTTTCTGAAATGCACCAGCATGCAGGAAAAAATAGGCTTTTCTGACGAAGAGCCAAACCTCGTATTTGTATATCGTCCGTCCCCCCCCCAATCGTCTCTTAATTTGCTCAGGAAAGGCAAGAACCTTAGCTTAAAAGGCTTACGAAAACAAACCAGGTTGCAGGAAATCAGCATTTTTCCTTTTTCTCTTTTTTTAAAGAGCAACCGCACTCCCTGGTTACCCCGGCCGAGCCCATTTGGTTTGGGCCGAGGGCCTCACCACATAGGCATGAATAACTTGAGCACTTTCTACTATGCAGTCCACCCCCCCTTGATACCTGTAGATGCACGAATGCACACCGTAGACACTTGCAAATGTGGGTTTTTTTTAATTGTAATGTGTGTGTGTTTTTTTTTAAATGAAATTGTAGAGATGTTCAGACGTGTTTCAGTTCTGTAGAGCAGAAGGTGTAAGTGGGGGCTGAAGCGTGTCGGAGGGCCACCATTGTGCAAACCCAACGCCACAGAGACAGGCTTTGAGGCTGTCGGCAGCCTGACGTTGTGTGGATGTTGGCTGGGAATCCTGGGAGTTGGATCCACCCCTCCTAAAGCTGCCGAGATGCTTTAAGGCGGTGTTTCTCAACCCCGTCAGTCATCGGCTGCTAAGCAGGCAGTCCTCGCCTTAGGTTAGGAACACGGTTGTTAAGCGAATCTGGCTTCCCCATGTCAGAAGGTCGCAAAAGGGGATCACGTGACCCCGGGACATTGTGACCATCATAAACGTGAATCACTTGCCACGGGTCTGAATTTTGATCACATGACCAGGATGTTGCCATGTTTCAAAAGTGTGAAAAATGATCATAAGTCACTTTTTTCAGTGCCATTGTAACTGAACGGTCACTAAATGAACTGTTGTAAGTGGAGGACTGCCTGTATATAGGACAGAGCGATGCATGAGGTAGCAGGTCCCAGCCCTGTCTGGGAAGGAGGGGGCAAGGAGGACCCTCGCTGCACTCATCACATGCTCTCAAAGCCTCTTTTCCTGGGTTGTTTTGATTGCGGCCATATTTACTATCCTCTAAGAAGGTTATGGAAAAACAGAAATTCAAAAACTACCTTTGCCACCATCTGTGGGCCTCGTGTAGAAATCTCGGGCCGTCTCGAGGTTTGCAAAAGCACATTTTGGGGGGGGGGGTCCTTTAGATCCGCCAAAGTGGAGTCCTACCTCAAAGGAATCCTGAGGCTGCTCTCGAGGGATCGGGGCCATTTTTATCCCAACTGTCTTAATCTAAAGAGCAAATAAGCTGGATAGCAGGGCTGATTCCAGAGTTCCGCAGGCTCTCTGCTACGTAGAAACGCGTTACGCTCCTGTTTGTACTTAAATGATAATAAAAGTTCTGAATTTCAGCTGATGGGTAACTGGTCCTTTTTATATGCGTCTGCTTTTCTGCTCATCCAATTCTTTTTTTATTACTATTTTTGCAGCATCCTTCTCAGCTGAAAAGGAAGATTAAGAATTGGTGCTTTAGAACAAGGAGTCATTTGGGTGTTGCTCTTAAGGCCTCGGGCTAGAAACCAGGGGGCTGAGAGTTCTAGTGCCACTTGGACACGGAGTCAGATGGGGGAGGTTGGGCCAGTCCCTCCCTCTCAGCCCTAGGAAGGAGGCAATGGCAAGCCATGAAATCTTGCCTAGAAAAGGACAGCCATTTGTCCAGGCAGTGACCCAACTAGGTAACGTTATCAGTGCTGGAAGGAAGCGGGGTGTGCGGAGAGAAGGAGGGGGACTGTGGAGTCCCTGGTGCTCTCTTGAGCTTGGTGGTTTCCTTGTAGACATTTTATGATCCAACTAGGTTGGCTAGATTAACCAGAAAGAGACCATGATGGAAGGTCGGTGATGCAGGCACCGTTAGGAGACCAATTTAGGGACGCTTCCCCTGGAGAAGGTCTATGTGGGATCTGACGCTTCTTTGATGCTGCTAATCCAGGGGACTCCAAACTCTGCAACTTTTAAGACTTGGCCACTTCAACTCCCAGGATTCCTCATGTTCGCCCCAATTTCTGGGAGTTGAAGCCCACAAGTCTTAAAACTTGCCCAGTTTGGAGACTCTTGCTCGGATCAATCATTGGGAAGGAGAAGCAGCACCACTGGAAGGCCTGAGAAACCAACTCGGTGGAAAAAAACATTTCTCTTAAAAGGTCTAAAAAACTTTTTCAATCTGGGCAACCTTTAAGATGGATGGACTTCAGCTCCCAGAATTCCCCAGGCGGGAAGTCCGCCCATCTTAAAAAAGAACCCAGCTTTGAGAAAAACGCCGCTCTTAAAATGTCTCGGCGCCTGCGCAAAAAGAGGCGGGGAACAGCGTGACGTAGGGGGAAAGAGACGGCTGCGCCTCCGCGCGCGTCGCAGGACGTCATCCGCGCGCGCCGGAAGCGGCCGGGAGAGCGAACATGGCGACGCCTGAGGGAGCCGAGGAGGACTGGCCCGAGCTGGCGGCGGGCGGGCGGCGGGAGCTGCGGCTGGAAGCCGGCGAGGCTCTGGAGCGGAGGGTCCGAGCGGCCGGAGGTCGCCTCCCGGCCGCGTTGGGCGAGCTGGGCTCGGCGCTTCGCTCCCTGGAGGTCCGCGGCTGCCAGGAGCTACGCGAGCCCGGCGCCTCTCTGGGCCTCCTCTCGGGCCTGCAGTCGCTGGCGCTGCCCGGCTGCGCGCTGGGCCCTGCGGGGCTGTCCCTGGCCGGGCGGCTGCTCCCTGCCGCGCTGCGCTCGCTCGACCTGTCGGACAACGGCCTGGAGGAGCTGCCGCCGCAGCTGGGCGGCCTGGAGGGCCCCGAGGAGGAGGCGGCGGCGGCGGCGGCTCCGGCTCTCCCCGAGCTGCGGGTGCTGAACCTGCGCCGCAACCGCCTGCGCGGCCTGGGACCCGGGCTGGCCCGCTCGGCCCCCGCGCTGCTGGAGCTGCTGCTGGGCGGGAACCGGCTGCGCGCCCTCCCGGGGACGATGCTGCCTCCGCCGCCTCCTCCGCCCGCCCAGGGGAGTCGCCGGCCCGGCCCTCCGCCCTCGCCTCTGCCGCTGCTGGGCCTGCTGGAGGCGGCCGGGAACGAGCTGGAGGTGCTGGGCGCAGAGGTGGCCCGCCTGGTCGGGCTGAAGGTGAGGCAAACGAGGCAGGCCCCGCAAATGCCAAGTGCAATATTAATGCAGTATCAGGGGTTTTCAATTCAATTGCATAGAATGCGAAGGAGGTGTGTGTTTTATTTTTATAGTTTTTCTTATGTATAATGTACACTGAAGATGGCATTTAATTTCATTGTACGAGGTGCAATGCCAATAAAGTTAAAGTTAATAGAACACCCACACACTCTCGCATGATGGTGGCCGTGATCTCCCTACCAAGAATGTGGAAGGGGTGAAGAAGGTTCATGGTAAACACTTCCCCAAAAGATGCCTCGCACCTCTTAACTTCACTGCGTGAACTCTTGCCCTGCCACCTGTTGTGGTTTTTCCGCTGAGGTTGTCATGTCTGACTGAGGGGACAAGGCTTGTTACTTGGGATTTGCTCTCTTTTCTTGGTGGAAAAACAACCAGCTCTGTTTTCTTTCTCCAGACTTTGGACGTCTCCAATAACAAGCTCTCCGAAATCCCAGCAGAGCTGGCTGACTGCCCGAAGCTGAAGGACGTCAACTTGAAAGGCAACGCCCTGAAGGACAAACGGCTGGAGAAGATGGTGAACGGCTGCCAGACCAAATCGATCTTGGAGTATCTGCGCCGGGGGAGAGGCAAGCAGGAGGGGGGCACCGAGAGAGAAGAAAGCCGGAAAAAGAAGCGAGAAAAGAACAAGAAGAAAGGAGGCAGCGATGACGAACTGGAAGATGCCCAAAAACTGCTGGTGAAAATCCTTCACATCTCCGAGAGCCCGGCGCCATTGGTGGTGAAAGCCAGCCCCAGTGCGAAAGACGTCCGTCCTTACATTGTGTGTTGTGTGGTGAAAGGCATGGATTTCAGCACTGGCAATGCTCTGAAGAGGTTCCTCTCCGTTCAGGTGGGGTTCCGAAAGGGACGCTAAGCCGTTATGGACTCTACTGTCCCTCCCATGTAGAAAACTCTTCTCAAATGGGGGAGTCCAACTGTCCCTGATCAGGCAGCAGGATCTCGGCTTGAAATGATGCTATAAAGGAATAGTTCAAAATAAATCTAAATCCGTTTTTCTTTTAATCCCATAAACAGACAAAACTCCACGAGGACATTTGTGAGAAACGAACATCAGCCACCATTGCAACTCATGACCTGCAGCTGGTGAAAGGACCACTTGTCTACGAAGCTCGGGCCCCAGAGGAGTTGAAGGTGGGCTATCCTCCAGCAGAGCGGTTTGTGGAGAGCAAGAGGGGTCCTTGGTGCTCCCTGAGCATAGTTGTTTCCTTGCAGACGTTTCATGACCCAACTAGGGAACGTCATCAATGCTAGGAGCAAACTCTCCCTCCGTTCTAGCCCTGATGATGTTCCCTTGTTGGGTCATGAATCGTCTATAGCAAAACAACCCAGTTCAGAGAGCATCAAGGAGCCATAGTTATAAGTTGCATGCCTGTTTTCTGCCTCAGTTTTTCTCCCCTCTCTCCGAAGCTGCCCATCTTGAAACCGTTTCCCATTTTTCAGATCATCCCCCTGGGCCGGAAGGAGATCAAGGCCAACGACCTCCTTCGCCAGTTGCAGGCCGAAGCTGATGAACAGCGGAAACAGAAGAAAAGACAGAATATCTCTGGGCTGTACAAGTACGTCAGAAGTTCGAGGCAGAGGAGAAAAAGTAGGGTGGAGCACGAGTTCAAGAGTTACCACGTCTGTAGACTAAACAGGGTTGCTGGCAGAGTTTCCTAAAAGAAACAAAGATTTTGTGCTCTCAGATTTTACATTAAAAATTTAGTTTTGAACTAAATTATTTTACCTATTTATCCCAGAATTAGCAGTAGGGTTTCTTAAGAAAAAATCCCAAGATTCTGCACACAAATAAACTCTCAGATTTTACACACACGCAAACAAAAACAAATCTGTTTTAAAATATTTTTTTACTTACTTATATTAGGGTTGCCAGCAAGGTTTTCTTTTTTAAAAAAATCCAAAATTTCATGTTCAAATAATCCCAGATTCTACACAAAACACCCCAATAAATCACTTTTACAAAATTATTTTTATCTATTTATCTGAGTTCTCAATGGGTTGTCTAAAAAAAAAATTCAAGATTTCATGCTCAAATCTAAGTTCTACACAAAAGTCCCAAGATAGCAAAATATGCTATTTTAGGCTTAAGCTAAATTATTTTTATCCATTTAATACACACCCTATAATCTCATGTATAGAAAAATTTAGTTTTCCGTACGTTTTAAAGTAAAAAGGTAAAAACCCAGCACTGATTATTCTGTCGTGAAGCCTTTTGTGGCTCAGATTTAATTAAATTCTTAAATATGCCATTTGATCTGCCTCTCAGCTGCTATTTTTAGAGATGTAGCAGGGAAGTTTTAATTTTTTTTTTTTTAAATGATGCATCAATCGAGGGCAGTTGTTTGGGGTTTCCAAGTTATTATTATTTTTTTTTTACTGTCATAGCATCCTAATAACGTGGGCCTTCTTCTTTTCAATTTGGGTAGGTACCTTCAGTTGCTGGATGGGAAGGAGAATTACCCCTGCCTGGTTGATGCCGAAGGCTCCGTGATTTCCTTCCCTCCCATTACGAACAGCGAGAAAACGAAGGTCAGGGAGCTTGGCTGAGCAGTGGGTGGGGAAGGGGCTGGGATTCCTGCACTATTAAGACCAGTTCTTCCATCTGCCAATCACACAATCGAGCCAGCCTGGTATACATATATTGCAATCAAGGAGGAAACATAGTACAGATATTCCCCACAGTCGGGAATAGAACGCACTGATGAAGTTACGTAGTTGGGTCATGAAACATCTGCAAGAAAACCACCAAACAGAGAGAGCACCATGGATCCCACAGTCCTCCTCTCCACCTCCACCTCCTCTTCCTCCTGCTTTCCTCAAAGCCCCCCTCCCATCTAAGCACTGATGATGTTAGGTAGTTGGGTCATGAAACGTCAGTGGCCAGGCGCCTGGATTGGATCATGTGATCATGAAGACGCAGCGACGTCACTGCAAGGACTGGTTGTAAATCATTTTTTCCAAGGCTGTTGCAACTTTGAAGGGTCGCTAAATGAATGGTTGTAAATTGAGGAGTTCTTCATGTAAATGCAGGGATTAAATGTTGATGTTTCCTTTTGGTCTTTTTTAAGCTTGGGAAAACGACCACCGATTTGCTTCTGGAAGTGACCAGCACTACTAGTCTTCAGCTGTGCAAAGACGTGATGGACACTCTCGTTATGGTACGTCTTCCTTCCCCCCCACCCTTCCCCGCCTCTCACATCAGGGCTGGGAACCATGGGTCTCGGGGCTGTCAGGAATTGCCACGATGCGCCTGATCGCAGCACCCGGGCTCTGGATCCAGCTCACAGCTGGGACCACAGCGTGCGCAGTTACACCTGTGGCTGGATAATATCCAGCCTAAATAACAGGTAGTCCTCAACTTACAGCCACAATGGAACCTGCCAATTACAGCCTGACAGTCGTAAAACAAGTCAATCAGAGCCAGCCGGCCTTTGCAGCGATCGTAGCGGTCGTAAAGTAAACTCTGCAGTCATTAAATGAACTCATTTCAGAGTTTTGGCCAAAGCCCAGGAGGAAACACTAAAATAATCTTTATTGTGATTATTATTATTATTATTATTATTTATATGAATTACAGAAAATGGCCGAGATGAACAGGCTGACTGCAATCAACAAAGACGGGGAAGCGGGTTCAGATCACGAAATCCTCCGGCCCGAAGGCAGCCCCCCAAGCACCCCTCTGATCTTGGAACAGGTCCGGGTTGTGGACGCAGAAGGGAACCTCAAAGTCCTTTACCCGTCAAAGACGGATCTCCACACCTCCCTCCTCACCGTCCTTCATTAAGCGCCGTTTCCCCTGGGACTCCATTCGGGACTTTTTATAAAAGTTTTCGGGGAGTCGCGGTGCTCGGCTCGTTCGCCAGCCGCTGCAGCAGGAAGCCTTGAGCTATTTTAAGACGCATGAATTTGGGGTCTCGAAAGAGACTCGGATGTTCAGCTTGCTTTAATCCCCCTACTCAGACGAGGGGGGGGGGTGTCAGTTTCGATCCTTTGCCAATGAGCGTGCATCGGATGAAGTTGTTTTCGCCAACTGATCCCTCCCTCTGGGTCTAATTTTGCTGTGCTGTGTGACTGTGTTCCTTCCCTGGGGAAGAGGCGGGTTGGTGGTCTCCTCAAGGAATGTCCTGTGGGGAAGGAACCCCAGTAGAAAATCCCCGGAGGGTAGCATTTCCCTACCAGGTTCTTCCCTTCCCTGTAATGTGGATTCTCCAAGAGAATAGGGGGTGCCTATTGTGACTGCCCCAGCTTGGCCCCGAGACTTTGGGGTGGGGTCTCCCAAATGGCCACTAACCTTTGCTCCCTCCCAACTCTGGTGGCGTTTAAGCTTGGCGTCTTCTTGCATGACCCACATTTCATGACCCAACTAGATAACATCATCAGTGCTAGAAGGGGAGGGGGTTTGGGGGGGGGGGGGGGAGACGAAGACGGGGGTCCTTGGTGCTTTCTGTGCTTGGTCGTTTTCTTTCAGGCATTTCATGACCCAGCTAAGTAACAACATCAGTGCTCGTAGGGAGTGGGGTTCTGGTTTCTAGCAATGATGTTCCCTAGTTGGGTCATGAAACGTCTGCAAGAAAACCACCAACCCCCCCCCTCCCCAAATTCAACCCCCAGTCTACAAATAGCCTCTTCCTTTGGGCAACAGGCAGTGCCCCATCCCTCATTTCTGTTTTTGCCAAGGCTGGCCAAGAGTCGTGCCCGCATTCCGGTTTGTAGAGAAACAATCCTGCTCTTTAGGGCAGCACAAAATGGTTTTTAAAGTCCGAATTTCCCTCTAAAAATGCAACTTCTGAATGTAAGGCCTTCGGCTAGCAAATTTTACTTTGGGGCATCGATAATCCATCCCCCAAAAAAGGGAATAAAAATGTTCAGAATCAGCTTTGGCGTGTTTTGTTCGGCAGTGAAGGGAATGGGGCAAAGAAGCTGGGCCCAAAGCTCACTTGGCAGCCTTAGGGGGGTGGAGAAGAGCAGGCAGCGCCAGCCCTGCAGAGCAGGCCTCAGCCGGCCTTCCTCACCTGTGGCCAGAGTTAACAGCAGTGAATTTGGGGGTCACGCTCAGGAAAAAATAGGTCAGAGGACGGTGGCCTTCAACCAGTGTGTCCCCAAACACTGACAATCGATGGGCTTGTTTCTAGTGTGCCCCAAGATTTGAGGTTTATGTAAACGCCGAAGGGCTTGACCAGGTGGTTGCTCGGCCTGCGTTCTCAGCCACTTGGGGCCCCATTGTCATTTGCTGGGTGTAATTGCCCCAAGGCACCACCAGAGGGCTGCCTTCTAGAGCTGCAATAGCTCAGAACAGCCACAGGAGGGCAGCAATCGGGAGAGCCTTTGTAATCCTGGCTAGTTAGTTCCCAGCCTCTTGGGAACCTGCAATTTCAATTGGATAATTTATTTTTAATTTCGGGCCGGGCAGTGAAGCTGCAAAGGGAAAGGCAGACAATTATGGGATGGCAAAAGAGAGCAAACTGCTAAAAAAAACAACCCGAGGAATGCAAAGCAACTGAATAAGCCTTAAAGGAAGAAGAATCTGGAGCGAACTCAATTTTAACTATGTTGTGTGAATGTGTCGCAAAGAAAGAGTTGAAGGGGGGAGGGGGTGAAAAGCTTCCCAGATGGGAGTTGGGCAGGGGTCTCCAAACATGGCAACTTTAAGACTTGTGGACTGGAAATTGAAATGCACAAGTCTTAAAAGTTGTTACGTTTTCAGAGCCCTGGAGTGTGTGGGGGGGGGCACACAGAGCCTCTGAGACCCAGGCCCGCTTTCAGCTCCCCTTCTCCATGTTGGAGGAAGTCGGAGGGGGGTCATTTGGCCTCATCCCCCTCCCCTTCCAGCTGTGCCGGGAAAGCTCTGCAAACACAGCCCAGCAGCAAAGGCCTCCCCTCCCTGGGGTGGGGGGGGGTCCGGCCAGCCTGCCATGCAAGGGGGGTGGGCTTCAAGGGAGAGGGCCCCTCCCTTGTTGCTCCTGGCCAGCTGCCAAGCTTCTCCTCTTGTTTGGCTTGGCAGAGGCCTGGCCCTCTGATCACCCAGGGGGATTTTGTGCTTCTCTCCTTCCAGATTCGGGTGGGGGAGTTTCGGGGGTCTCTGCCCACCTGGGATGCGGAGAGGAAACCAGAGCTGGGAAGTCTTCAGCCACAATTTGCCCTCCAGACGTTTTTGTTTTTTTTGCTGGGGGAGGAAACGGGTTCTGAATCTTGGGAGTTGGCATTCAGCTGAGAACGGGGCAGCCCAGTTTTTCTAACAGAGTTTCCTCCCCCTGAACTCCATCTCCCATCATCCCCAAATGACTGGATTCTACCACCACCATCATCCCCGAGCCTCCCAGAGAACAGAAAATGCGACTTACGGCCACAATGGAGCCCAACGTTTCCGCTGCTAGCGCGAGACAGTTGCTAAGCGAATTTTGCCTCATTTTACGACCTTTCCTGTCACAGTTCTTAAGTGAATCACTGCAGCTGTTAAGTTAGTCACACAGTCATTAAGTGGATCTGGCTTCCCCGTTGTGTTTCCTTGTCAGAAGGTCGCAAAAGGGGATCCTGTGGCCCTGGGACACTAAAACAGTCATAAGTCCATGCCAGTTGCCAAGCTTCTGAATTTTGATCAGCGTCATAAGTGTGAAAAACGGTACTAAGTCATTTCTTTCAGTGCCGTCGTGAATTCAAGCGGCCACTAAACTAACAGTTGTAACTTGAGGACTGCCTGTAATAATCACTTTGTGAAACTGTTTCCTCCAGCAAAGTAACAAAGGAGAATAACAAACTTTCAGATAACCAAAAATTGATGTTTTTTAAAAAAACACTAAAATAGAGTAACAAACTAACCCTGATTGAGGGGATGGGGGGGGGCTGTTCCCTTGAATTTACATATGGGAGTTCAGTGCCCCCCCCTTGTTACTCTTCTTCTTGCAGCCCCCTCCTCAAAAAGAGGCCCATATCCTTCCTAAATTTCCCTCTTAATTCAGGAAGGGGCTGGATTAAAAGGGGAGGGGTCTCACAAAATTGATGATTTGGGGGGAGCAGCAATCCAAAGATGGGCTCCCGAGGTTCCTATTTGCTGGAATTTGGGGGGCGAGCTAAGTCTCTTTATTAATTTAAAGACCTCTTTTGAGTCTGGGGGCAACAAAATCCAGCCCAGGAATGTAGAAATCACAGCAGGGTTGTGGAAAAAGAAGCCCACCCACCCTCGGCCTCTTCTTAGATGCTCTGCAAAATCTGGGTGTGCAAAGGGGGGGTTGACTGCCCCCCCAACTGGTCCCTCCCACCCAGAATTCACCCCACACTCTGTGTTTTTTTGGCTGCAACCTTCCACCCTTTTCCCCTTCTCCTGTAAAGTTGGAGACTTCAAAGGTGTTTTGAAAAGGGGGGGGCAGAGAGGAAAAGACACCCTGCCAAGTTGAGGGAAGGGTGTATGTGTGTGTGAGAGAGAAAGAAAATGAAAAAGAGAGCGGAAAAAAAAGGGGGGAGAGAGCAAAAGAGAGAGAGAGAGAATGTGAAAGAATGAGAGTGAAAGAAAAAGAGAGACTCAAAGAGAGGAGAAAGGGAGAAAGGGAGAGTGAAAGAGCATGAAAAAGAGAAAGACAGAGAGAAAGAATGGAAGAATGGAAGAGTGAAAGAGCATGAGAGAAAAAGAGTGAAAGAGAATGAAAGAGAGGAAGAGAAAAAATAGAGACAGAAAGAGAAAACTGTTGAAAGAGACAAAGGGAAAAAAGGAGTGAGAAAACAGAAGTGAAGAAGGAACGACCCTCCACTCTTAAAAAGATTTGGCCAACTTTCCTCTTATTTTTTGCCTAGAAAGGTAAAGATTTCTCCTCCTCCCTTCTTTTTTTTTGGTAACCCCCTCTTTTAAGGGATCTACCCAGATCTCCAAGCCTTCGCCAGGACCCAGAAGTGAACTGTCCACCAACCCGGAAGATTTGAACTAAAACCACCCAGCGAAAGGGGAGGAGGGGGGGGAGACCCAGAAGTGTGTATGGGGGGGGGACGTTAGATGTACCATCCCACCTTCAGGGAGCCTAGAGGGGGGGGAGACCCACCAGCCGCTCTTCCCCCCCTCCCAAGAAGGCCCCAACCCTGAACGGATGAATTTTGGAAGAGCCCAAAACCGCAAGTGAGCCCCGAGCCCCCGCCTCCCTTGAAGGTACCTGGGCCCCCGCGCTCGTTCCTTCTCCTGACTTCTTCAACTCCAGAGGGCGGGGGGGGAGTGGGGGGGCGTGGGAAGGGAGGGGTCGGAAGGAGAAATAGAGTTTGGGAAAATGTGGCCGTTTGGGGCAAACTTGCCGGCGCCCCCTCCTCTTGCTCTGCAGGTCAGTCTCGGGAGGAACCCTGGGGGGGAGGGAGGGGAGGGGGGTCTCTCCTGCGGGGGGGGGGGGGTTTGCAAAAGAGGCGGCTGCTGCGGGGTTTGGCGGGGCCACCCAGCCTGGCTTGAGTGGGGGAGGGGGTCTCCTCTCTGCCCCCCCGCCAGAGAGGGAGGAGGAGGAGGAGGAGGAGGAGGAGAGAAAGAGGCAGGCTGGGGGGGGGCGCCCCCTTTTCCTTTTGCAGACGGCTGGCGGCGGAGTGGCAATTGGGAAGCCGAGCGCCTCTATTCGCCTAGGAAGTCTCCCTTCTTTCTTTCTTTCTTTTTTTTGTCATAAATAAAAGGCCGGGCTATTCGAAAACCGCGATCGGGGGATCGAGAGAGAGAGAGAGAGAGAGAGAGCAACCAGATCCTAAACAAACGAAAAAAAAAAACCCCAAAAAAGCCCCGCAAGCCATGCTGATCCGGGAGCCCCTTTTTGGCGCAGCCTTCCGGGCAGGAGCGATCCCCAAGCACTAAGAGGCGATGGCTCCCAGGAGCGAGGTGGCGTTTTTCTTCCTTTGGGGGTTTCGGCCCCGTGCTCTGCTTTGGGGGGGGGCTGCCTGGCGCGGGGGGGAGCAGCCCCCCCTTCCCTCCCCCCCCCGGCGGGCTCTCTGGGCTGGCTGGTCCCCCCTTTCCCCCCCCAGATCTGCAGAATATGGCGTCCCCGATCGGTTTTAAAAATAACACTGGCTGCCATCTTTTTGCGCTCTTTTGTCTGCGAATTTTCATCCAAAGTGGGCCGGCCCGGGGGGGGGAGGGGGGGGGGGCGCGGGAGGGGGGCGGGGGGGCCCGCACGGGGGGGCTTTTTCCCCCTCCCCAAAGAGGGAAAACAAATGTGATTTCTTTTTTCTTTCTATTTTTCTTTTTGTGTGCAATTGGCGCTTCTGCTCCGCTTTGGCCTCGGGATTTCCTCGCGGGCGGGGCGGGGTTGGGGGGGGCTTTGGGAGGGGGGGCCCAGAGCTGGCGAGGAAAAGCTTGGCGGAGCCCCCCCCGCCCCCCCCGGTCATTCCGCCTCTTCCCTTTCCACGCGTGTCGAGGAGGGCGCGGGGAGGCGAGCCCGCCTTGGAGGAGAAGGAGAGGCAGCACAGAGCCAAGAGCCCCAGGAAGAAATGCCAAATGTATCTTTTCGGGTAGCTGGTTGGCTGGCTGCGGGTTTCTCTCTTTCTTTCTCTCTTTCTCTCTCTCTTTCTCTCTTTCTTTCTTTCTTTCCCCCCCTTTCTGGCTCCAAAATGGTGGGAATCCGTCGGCGTCTCTCTTTTCTGCCTTTCTTCCTGCAAAATCTCGCCGCGTTGAGCGATGCCACGTTTGCGGTGGACTAAGCGGGGAACTTTGCAGGGTTCGTGGGTGGGTTTGGGGGGTTTTTTTTGCGAGGGGCGAGGAGGGGGCGCGGGGGAAGATTGGCTTCCCCCGTGTGTGTGTTTTGTGGTTGCGTTGTGTGTTTTTCTGGCGCTTTTCACGGATTCGGGGACTTTTGTTCCAAGTGTTCCGGCTTTGTGTTAAATAGATCGAGATGTCTCTCCTCTCTTCCATGGAGAGGCTTCGCCTTTTCCCCCCACACTTTATGCGATCCCTGGTGTAGAAATGTATCCTGGTTAATATCGGAGTTTGTTTGCCTGGGATGGCAGGAAAGGGGAGGGGGGTCCAGCTGGAATTTCTTGGGGGGAGGGGAGGGGGCTGAGATGATCTGTGTGAGAGTGACTGCAGGGGCTACTTGGGGGAAAAATGCTGGAAATTCTCTTTTTTTCCCCCACTGGCTGCATGGAATCTCCAGGAGGTGTGTTTGTGTTTCCCTTTTGTGTTATTTTCCAGCAGTTTGGGGCAGCCTGGGTGGGTGGGTGGGGGTCTCCCTCCATAATCTTGCTTCGTTTTCTTGGCCGCCTTAAACTCCCCTTAAAACTCAGGCTTTGGGTTCCTGCCACTCCAGGCCTTGGGGAAGGGAGGGGAGGGGGAGGGAGAGGTTTTTGGGGGGTGGGGGGGCAAAAGTGTGGGGCTGTGGGGGAGGATGTTGGGGGGGTCCCTTTTCAGTTTATTTTTTTCCTGCATAAAAAGAGGTCCTTCCTTTTGGAGGGCTGTGAATAACAATACAGGTAGTTCTCGACTTAACAGTTGTTCATTTAGTGACCACTGGAAGTTACAACGACCCTGGAAAAAAGTGCCTTAGGATCAAAATTCGGCCTCTTGGCAACTGACTCATATTTATGACGTTTGCTGTGTCCTGGGGTCGTGTGATCCCCTTTTGCGACCTTCTCGCCAGCAAAGTCGATGGGGAAGCCGGATTCGCTTAAAAACCGGGTTACTAACTGAATAAGGGCAGTGATTCGCTTAACAACGGTGGCCAGAAAGGTCGTAAAATGGGGCAAAACTCACTTAACGATGGCATTGTTTAGCAACGCAAAGTTTGGGCTCCGTTGTGGTCGTAAGTCAAGGACTACCTGTAATTGCATTTGTTTTTCCTTTAAACGGGCGGGGTTTGGTGAACTGTGAGTGACACAATTTGAGGGGGGTCAACGAGGCATGGGTGCTGAGAGGGACCCCTCCCTTGCCCTAACCGTGTTTGTATAGCTGTTTTTAAGCTGTGTTTTGGGCTTAAAATGTGGCTTCATTTCTGGAGTCTGGCCTGTGTTTTGGAGACGTTGGGTTTAAGTCACACACCCTAAAAGCTTTCCCTTCAAGAGAAGATTGGATGGCCATTTGTCCGGGATAGTATAAGGGCTCGTGGTGTAAGAGGGTTGGACTAGATGTCCTCCGAGATCCCTTCTAGCCCTACGATTCTGTGGGGACTAAAGAGGCAGATCCTGTCCGAGGGACCCCATGACGCTGAGATCGGGGTACTTGGAAGGTCAGTTGGTTGGAAAACCAGAAGGCTGTGAAGGAGGCCGGAGGGGAAGTGTCCATTCTGGCTCTGTGTGAGTCTTGGTTTTCCAGCCAGCTTGTGTTCCACATCCTTTAATAATGGATGAATAATTGCTCTAAATGTGAGACCAAGTGAGTTTTCCATCTCTTAAATCAGGGGTCTCCAACCTTGGCAACTTTAAGCCTTGTGGACTTCAACTCCCGGAATTCCTCAGCCCTCCATACCTGTTTCTTTTCTTCCACTGTCTAGAGCGGAGAGATTGCAGAGAAAGGGACCACAAGAGAGTAAGCAGGCATACAGTGGGGATACATATCAAAAGGAACGAGTTATTGCCAGGGAATTCTGGGAGTTGAAGTCCACCTATCTTAAAGTTTCCAAATTTGGAGACCCCTGTCTTAAAGCTTTTCAGGTATTTGGTTCTATTTTATTCAGTTTTATATTATTTGATGAAACTTAGCCTAGATGTAGAGAAAGCCTTTATCAGACTAAAGGCCTCTCTACGCAAACACAATTTTCTTGTGTCTCCTACATCTGGCCTTCATCTGTAGCCTTGAGGACTAGGAACCTTTACAGTTATCATTTCTAATTTGACTCGGCCCGAATGGCAATTAGACCAGCACCTTGTGGCCCTGAGTTCCCCAGACCAGCCATCTATCTGCCTTGTACCTGACAAAATAAGTCAAGGGCTCCCTGTAAAATGGAAGGAAAAAAAACCTGGATAAATATCTAAATATATGTACATTTGAAAAAGACTTTCCCCTAAAATATACATAGTGGTGTCTCTGATTTTTTCATTTGGAGAACTGTAGGTCCAAATTTTAATATCAGAAAATTACAGACTTGAGGGCTTTGTCATTTTTTGTTAGATAAATTGAGGATTTTTTTCTCCTAACACCGATCTGTTTGAGTCTTCTGTTTTCCCAACTTTCCAGGAAAGTTGGAAATGTGAATTTTAGGGGATTTTTTCCCCCCTCCTGTGGTCTTAAATCAAAGGAAGTGTATTTGATTTGCTCATTTATTTTGTTTTTTTAATGAAGGAAAGCAAACATTTTAAACCACATGCCTTCTGTACTCGCATCTGAAATGTTTTGAAAATCCAAGTTAGTTTGAAACTTTTGAACAGGGAAAAATATAAATAGCGAAAGCTCCCTTGCTGTAGGCGTTACACTGTTTCCCTTGCAGTTTTATTTGTATTTGAAAACCTGGTTTCTTTGTGGTTTAGTGTATAACTCCTTAGTGGTATGGATTCAAGCACTGAGATTTATAAAACACAATTTGTGGTGTAATGTAACAGGTGAATCCAGCTCATGTTGGCCTATTCAATAGACCATCATTAGTAGAAATCAGTGTGTTTTGGCCATAAACTAGAATTAAACCCCAGTTTCCAGCAAAAAAATTAAAATTGTACATTACCTTGTGACACTCCAAATATCCATAAATGCAGGCCGGTTGTTGAACGTCGAAAATGCAACCACCTAACCGGAGGGGTGGCCATTACAACTTTAAAACCAGGTTGTAAGTAGCACTGGGAAGGTCTGTCATAACTTGGAAGGGTCGCTAAGCGAGGACTACCTGCCAGCGGTCCCTTGACTTCACCTGTTGTTTTCAGTTTTGAATGCTTTCGGTGGCATCTGAGGTAGTTGTTTTATTGTGATGCTGGAAGGGAATAGAAAACTACACTCTGTGTGTCGGGAACGCAACTACAGTGTTGTGAGGCTTTCTTCTTTTCTTTTTTCTGCATTTTTGCTTTTCTCTCTCACTCCTCCCTTCTCTTTATTGGAAGCTGGAAGCTTCAGGGGTGCATCCTACCTGCTCCATTGCAGAACCTCCATTCGCTCTAGGAACAGCTAAGCCAGGTTAACCAGGTTTAGCTGATTAGATGACGGGAACACGCAGTAAGGTTTTACCGGAGGAATTGAATTAAGAATAGCTTCTAGGCGTCTTCCCAGGTGCCCTGTGACTCTTCTGAGGTAGACTGCCCCTCCACAGGAGGCTCCATCTCCTGCCCGGGCCCATGCTCAGCGCTCGGCCGCCGTTTCTGTGTGAACAATTTCTTATTTCTCTTTATTTCAGCCAGGCGAGAGGCCGGGCGGCCTCCCAGGCACAGCCTCCCCCTGCCAGGGGTCGTAGCTTGTATTAACTGCAGTTGGGTAGGATCTGGCGGAGGCCGGGGAGCCCTCCTGGCCTGAACCCGGCGGCCGGTGCTTGACCCTGCCTGCACCAGAAGGGACGGTTTGGAGTCGCAGCAACACCCTTCTCGCCAGGGTTCAAGATAGCCCGTGAGTACCGAGCTGCGGTTAACATCTTCCCTTCTTGCAGGGCTGCGACCGGACCCTGCAGGACCCCAGCAGTGGCCACCTCCACCCCTCCGTCCCTGCCTTCCTTCCTTCCCCAGGCGGCCCGGACTTTGTGTCCATCGGAGGGAGTCCTATCCCTCATTCCCTGGCTCAGGGCTATGGAGAAAGCAGGGTCATCCTTTCCAAGGGGGAGATGTGCCCCCTTCTGGTTCTGGGACCCCCTGATACCCAGGGGTAATTTTCTCTGACTTCTGAAGGTCAAAGCAGAAGCTTGGAGGCATTGCAAACCAAGGTTGAAAGGTTGAGGGCTCCTTGGTGCTCTCTGAGCATGGTGGTTTCTTTGGAGGCGTTTCATGGCCCAACTAGAGAACGTCATCAGGGCTAGAAGGGTTTGCAGAGAGGAGGAGGACTGCAGGGTCCTTGGTGCTCTCTGACCTTGGCTGTCGCCTTGCAGGCGTTTCATGACCCAACTAGGTAACATCATCAGTGCTAGAAAGGAGGGGGGCTTGCAGGGAGGAAGATGTGGGGGGTGGGGACCGTGGGGTCCTTGGTGTTGTCTGAATGTTGTTGCTTTCTTGCAAACATTTCAGGACCGAACTAAGTAACATTATCAGGAGGGTGTTTGCTTTCTTTTTAAACCCCATCCTTCCTTTTCTCTCTGCCCACCTCAAATTATTCTTAACCCCCAACCATCCTAGATAAGTTAGGCCATTAAAAGAAAGTGACCAAGATGTATCTGTGTGTGACTCGGATGCTGGACAGTTTGAACAGTTGGGATTCAAAGGTGGCCTCTTGGACAGATGCTGAACATCTGGGGTGTGGCCCAAAGTGAAGCTGGATTCACGCTGACTTTGTGGATGATGGGATATAAAGGGAGACGGAACGGATCTTTGGGGGGAATCGAGAAAAAGATTTTTGGCAGAAAAGATTACAAGAAAGAAGAAAGCAGGAGAGAGAGAGAAAAAAAGCTTGAAATCTGGATGCATCTTAGTTTAGATACATATAAGACGAAGTGATGAAAAATTCTGGCAGGTTTTCATGGTTTTGCTACAATATCTCACCACAATAAAAATGCCCAAAAAACGATTGTACAAATCGCATCGGCTTCCACCTGCATTTGCTACTAGTCTCATTAACAGCAGGTTGTTTGGGGTTGTCATTTCCAACCCCGAACAACCAAAATTTATTTGCTGTCATTTAAAAAGAGGTTTCTATCTGGCTGTCAGTGCTGATTTGAAGTGTGTTTTCTCAGTTTAAATTATTTAATTGCGTTGTTTAATCCATGAGCGCTGCAATTAATTTGTCTCCCTGATTGTTATTTTTATTATGGCTGGAGATGGCTTAGGAGTTTTGGGTGGAGGCTGCAGTTTATCAGTAACTCCAAAACAGGGAAAACTTTCCAAAGTTGTGTCTCTTGGCAAAAAAAAAAAAAAGTCATTTCTTTGTTGTGAATTTGTGTTCCAGTTTTTCCCTGCCTTGAATTTCCCACTAGCAAATTGTGAAAACTTTAAAAGTGGGTCCAGTTCTAGACAACTCTTTGGTTTTCTGTGCGTATTTTGAAAATATATATTTTATATTATCTGTGAGAGTTAAAATTTGGTGCGGGTTGAAAGATTTCAGCCGGTTTTGATGGGGGTGGGGTTTCCAATCCAACTCCACCAGTAAAAAAAAAACAGTCCTATTTTGTCCAGTTGGAAGCCAGGATTTGGGGGTGCCACAAATGTGGGGGTGCTGCCAAGCCTTCACTCAACAGTCTGGCTGGTCTCCATCCCATTCTCAGGTTTGGGATTTAAGTGGGAGTCTGTGTGAGGTTTGTCTCTGTCTTTTCTAGCTGAAACTAGGTTTAAAAGAGGCTTGTGGTCTTAACCGGTCTTTTAAAAATATAATTTAGCTGCTTCTTTTTGACCTTGTCCCAAAAACAGAAAGTCCTCGATTTACAACTAAAACGGAGCCCAAAATTTATCTTGCCAGACTACGACTCGGTTCTGTCAAGTTGAGTTTTGCCCCGTTTTACAACCTTTCTTGCCAGAGTTGTTAAGTGAATCACTGCCGTTGTTCAGCTAAGTCACACGGTCATTGAGTGAATCCGGCTCCCCCATCGACTTTGCTGTCGCAAAAGGGGACTGCGTGACCCCGGGGCACTGCGACCGTCATAAATACGAGTCAGTTGCCAAGCATCCGAATTCTGATCACGTGAGACGGGGAGGCTGCAACCGTCGTAAGTGTGAAAAAACGGTCCTAAGTCCCTTTTTTCAGTGCCGTTGTAACTTCAGTCACTAAATGAATTGTTGTAAGTCAAGGACTAACCGAAGAGTTGAGGGGGGGAAGCAGAATTTCTAGGACTCTGCAACTGTTTTTTCCTGTGGTTTATTTTTCTGTTTCGGGATTTATTCGGGGTTCAGCTGAGCACCTCCGTCTTTTCTGCAGCCCGGGGGGTTTTGGGGAGGCGAAAGGACCCCACGGATGCAGGAGAACATCTCTGCATTCCAGACCTGACCCAACATCCTCTTCTTACGTCTATTTTGCTCTCCAGAATGGCGGAGCCGCGCTTTAACAACACCTATTTTTGGCCACCGCCTCCCACCATGCCCAGTCAGGTAAGAACCGCGACGTCTCGGCTTCCAATCACTGGTTAGATATTTTCCCCCTCTCCCAAAGTTTCTAGTCCTCAAGAGCTAAAGTTAACCCGGCAGGTTGGTTTTTCCTGCCCTGTTTGGAAATGCTAAGCCTGATAATATTGATATATGTAAAGCCAAGCAGGCATTTGGGGTTAAACCTGATCCCATTGTGGGGGCCTGTGGGATATTTTTCCTCGCCATTCCCCATAGGATGATTGAAAAAAAATGGGCCCAAATAAGAGAGAACTTTATAATTGAACTTGCATTTATTTTTTTTTCCTTCTTTCCTTCTCCTTCTTTCTTCCTTCCTTCCTTCCTTTCTTTTCCTTCCTTCCTTTCTCTCTTTATAATTTTATGTTCTAAAAATTTTAATTACATGTATTTTGAGAAAAGAGAATAGCAGCTCCTGCCTTAATTATATTGCTTTCAGCTATCCTGGTGTATGTAAGAAAAAGAGATATTTTTTTTCCCCTGAAATCTTCTTCCAAATTCCCATTATTAATGTTGGGGCAATGGGAGGGAGATAAACGCATAAAGGGAGCACCCACACAGATTCATGGTCCGAGTGCTGTCCTCTTCCCCAGGAAAGCTTTCTCCTACTACGCTATCCGAGATCTCCTAGTGGCCTCCACTCCAAGATGAACCGGTCTGACTCTACTTAGCTTTGAAGTCCAAATGAAGTTTGGCAGAAATGCTTCAGTTCCGTTGAATCGGGACTAGACAACATTTTTTCCCATTGTTAAATTATTGTTAGTCCTTAAACTTGCCTGGGCTCCAGGGGTTTCCTCTGTTGAGTGCATGAATTGCAGGGGTGTTTGAAGGTCATCTAGCCTGACCCCCTGTCGTTTTTAAACCACGATGGTCGGTCGGTCGGTCTAGGTCGGTCATTCTCTCCTCTTCTGTCCCCAGCTGGACAATCTAGTCCTGATCAACAAAATCAAGGAGCAGCTCATGGCGGAGAAGATCCGTCCCCACCATCTGCCCCCTACCTCGGTGTCTTCCCAGCAGCCCCTGCTGGTGCCCCCTTCGCCCGCGGAGAGCAGCCCTTCGATCATGTCCATTCCTAAGCTCCAGCAAGTCCCGGGGCTTCACCCCCAGGCGGTTCCCCAGCCGGACGTGGCCCTCCATGCACGCCCTGCCACCAGCACCGTCACAGGTAGGGAAACAAAAGGGTTTGGGCGCTAGTCCTCATGATTTCGATGACCGGGTGAAGCCACGGCTAAAGGGGATAGAGCTGTGGGTATTCCTCGACTTACGACCACCATAACAATCAGGAAGTTCATCATTGAGGGGGCGCAGGCATTAAATGACCGCACCTGATTTTGCAACCTGTCCGATGGTGCGCTGTTATAACAAGAGAATTGTGTTCATAATTTGTTGTCTGTTTAAAAAAATGAAAGAGAGGAGAGCCGGGCTGAATCGAGACTCCTTCCTCTTCCTCCGGTGCAGGATTTTGCTTAGCCTTTTCCCCCCGACTTCCAGGTTTGGGGCTGGGGTCCCGCACTCCTGCCGTCAGCACTTCTGAATCCAGTACAGGGACGGGCACCAGCACCGCCTCCACCCCCACCTCCTCCAGCCAGAGCCACCTCATTGCCTCCTCGCCCACCCTCATTTCGGGGATCACCAGCCCCCCACTGTTGGACTCCATCAAGACAATCCAGGGCCACAGCCTGCTGGGGGCCCCCAAGAGCGAACGAGGCCGCAAGAAGATCAAGGCCGAGAACCCGTCGGGACCCCCAGTCCTCGTGGTCCCGTATCCCATTTTAGCTTCGGGAGACATCGGCAAAGAAGGGAAGACGTACAGGTAGGTCGAGAAAACGGGCTTCCGATCACTGGCGCACCTTGAAATGAATGTGCGGTTTATTGCGCAGAGCGAATGCCGCATTTAGCTTCAAAAACAAAATGGGAAACGGTTGTGTTTAAATTTTCATGCCACAGCTGACATTTTTGGTTTGAAAAATGGGTGCCCCCACAGAAGGGTTGCTGTCACAGACACAATCTATCTCAAAACCAACAACTAGTATAATTGTTCTCATTATCTCTTACCTCAACTATGGGCCTGGGTTATGGGTCCAGGTGGGACGCTGCCCTTAAAGATGGGGTTGTCACCCTCTGCACAAAACCCTGAGCCTCCTAGTAGTTTTGTGGATTTGGTACTCTGCGTTGCAGACCCATGTATGATGATAATGTTGCTACATCTTGTGGCACTGAGTTCCAGAAATCGAAAGTCCACCTTGTTTTTCAGTCTGAAGCTTCCTTTGACCCTCCGTTCCAAGCGTTGTAATCTGAGCCTCCCATTTTTGCACCCGGGGACAGTGTGTTCTCCAAGACCAAGCCTTTCGCCATCCACATGCGCCAGAGTCAAATCCACGTTGTGGGCAGCCCCCCGAGTTTGGGGTTCAGCGTTGTCCCTAACCCCTCTTCCTCGCTCCTCAGGTGTAAAGTCTGCCCGCTTACCTTCTTCACCAAGTCGGAGATGCAGATCCACTCCAAGTCACACACCGAGGCCAAGCCGCACAAGTGCCCGCATTGCTCCAAGTCCTTTGCCAACGCCTCCTACCTGGCGCAGCACCTGCGCATCCACCTGGGTGTCAAGCCCTACCACTGTTCCTACTGCGAGAAGTCCTTCCGCCAGCTCTCCCACCTCCAGCAGCACACCAGGTAGGGGTCGGCCAGCACAGAGGCCTTGGGACCTTGGTAGGTCAACGACGGCAGCGGGCGTCCTTCGTCGGGGTGGTGGGGCAGATTGAACCATTTGGAGGGAAGCCAGGGGGTGGAGTTAAATGGAAGAAGTGGGGTTGCAAAGGAGGGGCAAAGTTACAAGCACAGGATAAGGTAGCAATGTGGAATCGGGGCCTGTACTGCACAGTCGCTCATGAATCTGGAGGCAACAAGAAGGAAGGGGCATTTATAGCAACATCTTGTTGTGTTGTAGGTGGTGTGAATGGATCGATCCCTAGAATTCAGGGATTCTAAGACTAGAGTCCTTAGTTTGAGCACTTTGTGTCGTGTTACTACATTTACACACCATTTCATTGATCGTGTATATGTTGGGCAAAGAAAGCATCCATTCTTCACTTGGACCATTTAAATCAGTGATGCTGAAACTTCTGGACCGGGTGTTTTGAAAATTTTTAAAAATGCCTAACTTGACTCTGCTGCCGCTTGTCTCTCTCTCGCACACGCACAAAAGAGAAGCAATTATTTTAAGTGTTCATTTATTTTAAAAAAATATAATCCAATTGTTTACAATGCCCAGGATCTGCTGCGTATTGTTTATTTTCAAGTGGTGTCTTTTTCTGTTGACCGGCCCTTGCGGTCTACTCAAGGCAGCTCTGGGTTGCACAAGGTTTTTGCCTTGTTGAAGTGGCTTTGGACGATGCTTCTCTGCTGCCTCTGCAGTCCCTGAAAGCCATGCACAAACATACCCCACCCTCGCATGATTTTCAGACTCTGGCGGCTACCTGAGAGCACAGTCCCGTCTCTTGCATCCCCCGCAGCCTTTGAAACTCGTGCAGGAATGGAGCACGCTTTCAGGAATAGTTGTTGGGCGTTGGTGAACGCTGGTGTGTCACCCAAATTGTGTCATCTTTGTGTCTTAGCTTCACCCTAGAATCTAAATCTTTGTCCCTCAAGACCCCAGCACAGAAAATACGAGTCTCAGGGTGGAGAAGATGTCAGCTTGAGCCGTGGTTTTTAACTAGTGTTTGGGTGGCTTTGTGAAACGATTCCTGTGTCTTGCTGCGTTTCAGAATTCATACTGGAGACAGACCGTACAAGTGCCCGCATGCCGGTTGTGAAAAGGCTTTCACACAGCTCTCTAACCTCCAGGTGAGTGGAGAGATTGGGGAAGCCAACGGGGAACGGTGGGAGACATAATGGGAAGTTGAGGCCGCAGCTTGGATGCAGAATATCTCTTTCCCTAGAAGAAACTGCAGCACATAAATCAGCACACAATTGGGTCCCTGTAAGCTGTGTGGACTTCAACTCCCTGAATTCCTGTGCTGGCTGGGGAATTCTGGGAGTTGAAGTCCACACATCTTGCAGCGGCCAAACTTGAAAAACATTGACCTAAATCTTTCCAGCGTGAATCTCTTTTTACTTTCCTGCAAGAACAAAAGAAACTGACTGCTGGTTTCCTGCTAGTAAAAGAGTCTAGATACGAAAACACAATTTCTGCCAACGCAACTTCAATTATGTTCTTTTGCTTTTCCTTGCAACCATTAATGCAATTAAGGAGAGATTAGGATGGTTTCCCTGAGTCTATTATAGGTAGTCCTCAACTTACGACCACAATTGTGGCCAAAATTTCTTTTGTTATGCGAGACATTTGTTAAGTGAGTTTTGTCCCATTTTACGACTTTTCTTGCCACACTTATTAAATGAACCACTGCCATTAAGTTAGTAACACGGATGTTAAGCAAATCGGGCTTCTCTGATGATTTTGCTTGTTAGAAGGTCACAAAAGGGGATCACGTGATCTGAATTTTGATCCCGTGGCCATGGGGATGCTGCAACGGTCACAAGTGTGGAAAACGGTCATAAGTCCCCTTTTTCAGTGCTGTTGTAAATTTGAACAGTAACTGAACGAACTGTTGTATATCAAAATTACCTGCATTATGTTCAGATTGTGACAGCTCAGGGAGGTGGGAAGAAGCGCACCGGAAGCTTTCTGGTAGACTACCACTAGCTCTGGAGTCTTGCTGTCGCAGGATGGATGCTCTGCAGAACTGCCTCCAGAGACTGTACTTGTGTTTTACCTGTTTCCTCCCATTATCACTACCCGCAGTCACACCAACGGCAGCATAACAAAGACAAACCCTACAAATGTCCAAATTGCTACCGGGCGTACTCGGATTCGGCTTCGCTCCAGATCCACCTTTCGGCGCATGCAATCAAGCACGCAAAGGCCTACTGCTGCAGCATGTGTGGGCGAGCGTATACGTCAGTAAGTGAGCCACTCTGAGCCGGGCCGCGAATGTCACGGGAAAAGCCAAGGGTTTGGGCAGAGATCGAGTCGGCGAGGTTTTCGACAAAACGCCAAGGCCCAAAGCAGAGATGAAAAGTCACGGCTCCCCAAAGTACCGCCCTTGAATTTGGGGTGGGGTTTGAAGGCACCAAGTGGGAAGGGTGGGGTTTTTGAAGGTGATGCACCTTTGATGGTACACCTCTAGAGGGAAGCTTCGCCAGTCTTGAGCATTTGAAAGGACTTGCCAAGAACCGGAGGTACAAATCGTGCCGCCCAGTTGCAGATAATCCATCGTATTACGGTTTGGGAAACTGGGAAGTTGCAAATGGTCCCAGTGCCTCCAGCAGGACATGGGGTGAGCCTGAGCCTGACCTGGAAGGAGGAAGTAGCTCTGTGTTTTCCCAAGCTGCCACCCTCCTGCTCCCTTCTTGCCTCCACCGAGCTTCCTGTACAGGTGATCCTCACGGTCAGAATGGCGTCTCCAATTTCCATTCCTAAACCAGACATTGTTAAATGAGTTTTGCACCCTTTCACTGTTGATAAGCAGATCAGAAGGTTGCAGAAGGGGATCACGTGACCCCAGGACACTGCAACCTTCGTAAGTCCATGCCGGTTGCCAAGTGTCCAAATTGTGATCAAGTGACCGTGGGGATGCTGCGGTAGTCATAAGTGTGAAAACGGTCGCTTTCCTTCAGTCCCGAATGGCCAGTAAACAAACCCAAGTCGAGGCTGATTTGTCTCTGTCCTCTCTTTTTCCTCAGGAGACGTATTTGATGAAGCACATGTCAAAACATACGGTGGTGGAACACCTGGTGAACCAGCACTCTCCTCAGAGGACGGAGTCCCCCGGCATCCCTGTTCGGATATCCCTCATCTGAAACGCAGAGAAGCAGCGGCCCTCCCCTTGCGTGACGGACCTTCGCAAAGGCCCGAAACGAGAAAGGGAGCAAAGATGGAGATCTTCGGATTATGCAAAAACAGCCGTATTGCTCCCCCTGTGCTGTTTCCTCAGATTTCTTGACAGTGTACAGCACTGTGCTCAGGAGGACCAAGAGACCCCCCCCTCCCATCTGTCCCCCACCCCTCATTCACCCCCGAGCAACCTCGGGCCTTGACTATGTTTGTGGAGGGGACATGTCCTCTTTGATGTTGGGGACAACCAAAGACAATTCCACAGCACTTTCAGCCTCCCTTCCTCGCTTCTCCAGGAGCCCCGTTTTCTGGGATTGCGGCGTCCTGTTTTTTCCCGTATTCCCTCCCCCCTTTTCTCAATTCAGATCATTTTTCCCCTCTCCTCTCCCCCCCCCCAAAAAAACATTGGCGCAGATTTGAGAGATCTCTCCAACACGGAGCACACGATCCCTCTGGACTGCACCCTGAAGCCATTGTGGGTCTTCTTGGACAAGGACAGTACCGCAAAGTATTTTGGTGCTAAATTGGAAGGAGACACCCCGACACCCCAGAAAGCATCAAGAGAAGAGAGGCACCGTCTGGTGGACGCGACAATGCCACACGCCAAATGTTGTCAGCCTGTACCCAAATCACGGCTGGCGCAACATCAGGGAGAATCATGGGCCTGTCTTGTATGGAAAACGGAACCAACCTCTGGTCTTTTTCGAGAGGGGGGAAAGCTTGGGGAAGATTGCAAAACTCAGTGGGGAGATCCTGTACCCGTTGGGGCAAGGAGGGACGAGCCATCCAGAGCACTTGTAACAGTACGTCAGGAACGTCCGCTGCATTAGACACGGGTTTGGCACCCTGGTGGCCTGCTGGGACGAGACAAACCCTTGGACGAGATCCGTCATGTAGAGAAGACGAGGTTGGCACCTGTCCTGGCAGCAAAAGAGGGCACAGCTCTAGGGGACGTGCACTTGGGGGGTTGTTGCTTCCATGCACGTGTTTTAGCCATGTCCAAGCTACTAGTAGGTGGTTGGGGGGTTTTATATTCCCACTGAGTTGGAAAACCATTGTATTTGGTCGATGGGCATGCAACTTGACCAAGGGGGAGAACAGTGGGATCCCTCGCTTTGCCATTTCTTTCCTCCCCCCCCCCCAATCATCAGGTCTGTCACTTCCACTTTGTGGTCGCCCCAATTCATCTCTAGATGACCAAAAGACGCATCAACAGACGCTCCCACGCTTCCTGGTTGGTGTGTGAGGGACAAAAGACGAGCATCCCTGGTGAGAAGAAGCAACTTGCAGGAAACTCATTGATCTTACCGGGGGGAGGGAGGGCGGGTGAATCATCCAAGAGCCTTAGAAAAGTGGTCTTCCCCAGACAAAGAGTAATTATGCAGCTTTTCAATCTCAGGCCTATCGGTAGTCCTGCTTACAACTGCACATTACAGTTGTTAAGTCGTAACAGTCGTAAAATGGGTACCTCACATGGCTGGCCCAATTTTACAACTTCTTTTGCAACAGTTATTAAGTGTACATGGCAGTAGAAAACGAACACCGTACTCATTAAGCGCACGCCACTGTTGTTATAGCAAACCCATTGTTCACTTTAACAGTGACCAGTTATAAGTCAGGGACTACCTATATAGTTGGGAGGGGTCCCCCCAGGCTTGATTATGCCATAGCCATCAAGGCCTTCCTTACTTCCACATGCCAGTGGGCTCTGGCACAGCCACATTAGTTTGTAAGAGGCATCGCTAAAGACTTTGCAACTGACAAAAAAAACCTGTCCGTTTTCAGGCAGGACTTTAGTTCACATCATTCCCACACCTGCCCGCATCCAGAACCCATCCAAAGTCTCAAGGGCAAGTATTTCTCAACCTCGGCCATTTGAAAACGGGTGGACTTCAACTCCCAGAATTCCCCAGCTAGCCCTGGTTTTTTTTTTCCCTTCCACCTCCTAGAGCAGAGAGATTGCAGAGGAAGGGATGATAAGAGAGTCAAGCAGGCCACAAAACACGTGAAAAGGAATGCATTATCGCCAGGGAATTCTGGGAACTGTCTAGACGTCTTCAAGTGGCCCATGGTTGAGAAACTAAGCTGCTGTTCTTGGTTACCTCCTCTCCTTGTTTCTGGCTTGGTTTTTGCCTTGGGGGGGGCAGGACAGACCCCCATTTCAAGAAAAATAGCCAGAGAGACTCTTCAAACCTTCCTTCCCCTCCCCCAAAATGCCCCCGTTCATCCTTGGACCGAGTTTTGCTTCCATCCTTCTGAAACCAAAACTGCAGATGCCATTAGACACAACGGCAGCCTCTGCCACCCCCTTGCAAAGATTTTGCAGGAAACCCCCAAATGCAACTCCACTCCCTTCCCTGGGTTTTAATCGCACCTCGGCGGTTTGTCTAAATAGGGTAAGGGGAGGAAGACATCCAGCCCCTCCCCACCAACACAACTGAAAATCCACCTCTCTCTCTCTCATCCCCCTTTGCGATCCCTGTTGGGTGTTTTTTTGTTTTTTTTGAAAGATATGAATTAACACTTTCTTTTTTTAAAAAAGAAAAAAAAATATTTTTACGCCTTAAAAAAAAATCGCAGTTTTTTTTTTAAGCAAGTTGTTTTTTTCTTGCCATTTATACTGATTTGGTCCTTTCTCCCCTTTTTAAAAATACTTTTTCTTTCTCGGTTTTGAATTGATGTTGTATGATATTCAATATTGTATCCTCTCTTTTTTTTGGCATGTTAATAACTCTGTAAATAAGACTCTTATACATATTGTTAACATCTTTTTTTTTTTTCTATATAAAAGCCCAGGAAGCATCTTAGTTAGTGCCCTTGTTAATGGGGGGGAAAAGGAATTTTTTTAAAAAAAATATATAAAGAGGGAACATCCTTCCTCCCGATTTCTAAAACACTCATGTTGTGGAAAGAGCTTGTCCCTTGTTCCGGGCAACTGTTTGCATCATTCAGAAAAATTAAAAATAATATTACCAATATATGAGAAATGATCACTTTTTAAAAGTTGCTTTGTATTTCTTCTCTGTTGTGGAAAGCAAATAATAAAATGTCTTTTCAATCTTGGGCTGGACTTGGCGTAGGGGTGTCTCCTTTTCGTGGGCAAAGCTGAGAGGCTGTTGTACCTGGGGAGGGGGGGTTGCAACTCGAGGACACCCCCCCCCAAAGGCTGATGTCTGCATTCACACACAATATGTTAAGCTACCAAAACCCTGAAGCAGCTTGCTTAGCGAAAGGCATCTGTGTCCCTATGATGCCCATCAGAACAAAGCAGTTACAGATAGTCCTTGACTTACGATCTGAGCCTCCCCATTACAAGCGTAAGTCATGATGGTCGTGAAGTAAGTCTCCCCTCTGAGAGACCTGATTTTTGCAACCTATTTTTGTGGCGGTTGTTAAGTGAATCGCTTGAGTCTTTTAAGCTAAATCCAGAGTCGGTAAGCAAACTGGGACACTTCACGGGAACCGAGTCATTTTAAATTCCGCAAGAGAACCAGGAATGAGAACGGACTCCGAGAGACTACACCCAAATCTTCCCGCACAAAAAATTGACGGATGATCCGGCAGCCCCAGCTATTTTCACCTCCCCTTTTCCAAAAAGATACTCCCAAAGGATATTGGATATTTTCAGCCCTCGAGGCTCAGCAGATGACCATTTTTAAGACACTTTTTTTCCCAAAGACGTTTATTAAAAACCAGGTGTTGGAAGAAACGATAGAAAGTCCTTTTCTTGCAGCCCGGAAGGCTTTGATGAGTGTCCAGCACACGGGAAAAATGAGGCGTTGCAAACTGGCGACCACAGAGGGACACAGCTCAGCTGCACTCCCACTTGCCTCCCTTATCCGTCCCTGATTGCCCAAGGCAAGCCCACCCCTCGAGGCCTGCCCCATCTTCCAGAGAGAAAACCAGCCCCTCCTGCTCTCCCTTGGTGGGTTTTTTCCAAATTGGGGGTGTGTGAATGAATTGATGCTTGTAACAAATGCAAAAAGTTCCTTAAGGCAGCTGGGAAACTGGTCTCAGATCCGTGGAATCGCCTCCCAAGCAGATTTTTGGAAGGGGAGGGGGAGAACCCAGGCCAGGCCATGTTTGTGGCTCCAACCTGGCCACTCCCCATTTCAAAAAAAGAGGTGGGGCAAAAAAAGGATGGACGGCAGAAAGAAAGGATGCAGACCAACGAGGAAGGGAGCTTTGTCCGGATTTCTGCCGAGGTGCCGTTTCTGCCTAGGAAGGGCGGCACGGGCCCCGATGAGCCCGAAAGAGCCGCAGGGGGCTGGGTGGGGCCAGAGAGATGGGAAAGTGCACTATGTGGCACCAATATCTCACACACACACACACACACACTTAGCTACACAAAAGTTTAAGGCAACGGTCCTGTTTGGCTTTGAGGTTCCCGAGAGGCTTTGTCCAATGCAAAGGGGGTGGGGGGACTGAGGCCGAAGACGGCCTGGTGGCCCCCTCCCTTCTCCTCTGTCCAAAGGGTACCACTTTCCTCCCCTCATGTGGCAGGGAGAGGAGCAGGTGGGGAAGCTACGGACTGCTACGTTTAGTCGTCGTCGTCATTGTATGTACACGGCCCCACGGCCCTGCCCTCAGGGCATCGGGTCACCAAGACGGGGGAGGGTCTGTCTCCTCCCCATCCCTCCCATCAGCGGGGGATCTTTGTGCTCAAGTTACCTGGTGAGAAGAGGGAATACTGGCCCAATGGCCTAATCCACCTGAGCTCTCCCCTCCCTTCCCCAAGCTGATCAGCGTCTGTCCACCGTGGCCCAGCACCAGCCCCGGCTCCTAAGAGTCTTTCAACATGCAGATGCGGGCGTAAATCTTCAGGGCGGGCCCTAATTTGATGTTCATGGCGCTCATGAGGTGGTCTTCCTTCAGCAGCAGCAGCGCCTGGCCATCGATCTCCTGGGTGCGGAACTCGTCGGCGATCTCCTGACAGCCTGCAAGGTGGGGAAACATATCCCATCAGCTCAAGAGACTTTTGTCCCCCTTCCAGCATCCCAATTTCACAATCCCCAGCGGCCCAACATGGAGGACAGGCAGCTTTCTTGACGTAAAAGATAACGACCGAGGTACGAAAGATTGATGTCCGGGCTTCAAGGTAGGCTAAATCACCATACAGAGCTCAGGGAAATTTTGCAAGCCTGCCAGGATTTCTCTCTACTTTATCTTATACCAGACAAAATCTTGGAAGACAACCAGAGTTTCTACTTCATCTTATACCGCGGTGGCGCAGTGGTTAGAGTGCCGTACTGCAGGCTATTTCTGCTGATTGCCTGCAATCTGGCAGTTCGAATTTTACCAGGCTCAAGGTTGACTCAGCCTTCCATCCTTCCGAGGTGGGTAAAATGAGGAGCCAAAATTGTTGGGGGACAATATGCTGACTCTGTAAACCACTTTAAGAGAGCTGTAAAGCACTGTGAAGTGGTATATAAGTCTAAGTGCTATTGCTATTGCTATACCTAACAAAATTGAGACAGAGTTATAGTTTGAGTTTGTGGCGCTTGTTTAACTAACTCTGGTGTTCTCTGAAAGTCCTTCAATCACCCTTTCCATTGGGAGAGGGGATTTCTCAAGGCAATTAAGTAGCCCAACGTGGGGCAAGAAGATGGGGTTCCACCTCTTGGGACCTCGCTTAGCGGCAGATGCTTACCAGGTAGGGAGTGGATGAATTCATACACGTCCTCCACATTCCACTTGGTGGGCTCGCTCGGCAGGAAGTGGCGTTCCATGCCCACCAGATCCCGCAGGTGGACATCCGGCAGTTCCATGTCTCGCTCACCCTGCCGCCGCCGGGAGGCAGACGAGCTGGCCGAGATGGGGGAGAGAGGCTCTTCGTAGCTGGAGTTGTCCGAGCAGCGGCTGGAGTCCTCTTGTCCGTGGCTGAGCTGGAGAGAGCTGGGTACCGCCATGGGCGCAGAACTGGGGGGCAAGGAGGCCGGCACCTATGGGCCCAAACAGGATACAAACCAGATTGACAGAGCTGCCTTCATACCCGTTCTAGCTCAGAACTACGTCTTCTGGACGGAATGACAGTATGACCGCAACGTATGACCACAATTGAGCCCAAAATTTACGTCCTTAAATGAGAAATTTATTAAGTGAGTTTTGCCCCATTTTATGACTTTCCTTGCCACATTTGTTAAGCGAATCACTGAAAGTGTTAAATTAGTAACACAGTTGTTAAGTGAATTAGATGCCAAGTGTCAAATTTTAATCACGTGACCATGGGGAGGTGGCTGTGTGAAAAACGGTCGTAAGTCACTTTTTTCAGTGCCATTGTAACTTTGAATGGTCGCTAAACAAATTATTGTAAGTCGAGAGCTATCTATAAGACCGAAAAGGACAGAACCATAATCTTCTGAATTTCTCCACTTCAGAAGATACCGTATTTTCCAGAGTATAAGATGCACCTACCTTTTCTGGGGAGGAAAACAAGACAAAAAATCTCCCTCTGCCTCTGCCTCCCAGCAATTTGCCTCCTTGCAGCAAACAGCAGAGGCCCACACGGCAATAGGCAATGGCAATCCCTGCAGCCTGAAACAGCTGATGGTCAGGAGGCCGACCCAACCGACAATCAGCCGCTTGTGCTAATCAGGCTGTGCTGAAGCTGGAACAAGCTGCTTGCTACAAGGAGGTAAATTGCTGGGAGGCAGAGGCCAAAGGGTGGGGGCCGGTGGGTGGGCAGGGCTACATTCGATGTATAAGACACACCCAAATTTTCACTCTCTTTTTTTGGGGGGGGGGGGGAAGGACTGCGTCTTATACTCCGAAAAATATTGTATTCTGAAATTCTCTTTCCTCAGAAAATGTTCTGAATTTCCCTTTCTTAAGAAAATACCCCAAAGTCTGAGTGCCTTGAAGTTCCTGCCCATCCCCCACCCAGCTAACCGTTTTTTTGCTTTCTTTAGTGAGCGGGGGAAGGGCTCCCTTGCAGGGTCGGCGTCGGCAGTGCGCAGGCGTGTTCGGTTTCTGCAGCTTGCTGCGGTCCGGATGGAAGAGTCCCACTCGCTTGGTGCAACCCACATTATACCTAGGGGAGGGGACAGAGAGGTTAATACGGTGCTGTGGAGAAGGAAGACCAAGTCTCCCATCCGAATCTAAGCCAGGTTCGACCCTGCTTAGCTTGGAGAGCAGAGTGTCACCAGATGGGCCAGGAAATCCCAACTTCGCTCCTTTACGGATGTCTGGATATTCTTGGTGACGTTTCCAAGAGAGGAAGACAGAGTCAACTCAAACCGAGAGATGGGTAGGAAATAAATTTGATAATTATGGGTAGTCCTCGAGTTACAACAGTTCGTTTAATGACCATTTAAATTTAAAACGGCAGTGAAAAAAAGTGACTTATGACCGTTTTTCAGTCTTACGACCATTGTATGGTCACGTGATCAAAGGATGCTTGGCGATTAACTCATATTTACGACGGTCACAGTGTCCTGAGGTCCTGGGAACCCCTTTGGCGACCTTCTGACGAGCAAAGTCAACAGGGAAAACCAGATTTACCTCACAAACGTGTGACTAACAACGGCAGTGATACACTTAGCAACAGAAAGTCGTAGAACGGGGCAAAACTCACTTAAATGTCACCCTTAGCCACAGAAATTTTGGGCTCAACTGTGATCGTAAGTCGAGGACTACGTCGGGTACAATCCCAAAACATCTGCAGCAGCCCTTGAATGACTGTCGGCATTGACAAAATCCCCGTTGGTCAACTGCAGAAGGCAGCTCGACTTGGAACAGCTTGCATCCTGCGACGAGGCCTTTAACGCCATCATCACACAGCCACACCTGCCAGGTCCTTGGGGAAGACTCGAGAGGTGGGCAAAAATGGCCAAATCCAGCCTGAACCTCTGGCGGGCTCTGCCGCCAATCACAACAGTAGCAAGGCGGCCCTTCACAGCGTTAAACCTGGTTTAGGGGTTTATTCTGCCATTACGGACAAAGGGGCCCAACCTCCCACAGCTTTGGGGGTTTTGGAGGTACCTCTTCGCACACGCCATGGAACAGAAACGCTTCGAACGCTTGAATTTGTAGGCAAAGTCGAGGCGGCCGCAAAGCTCGCATTTCAACTTTGGGGGAGATGCCTCCTCGTCTTTGGATTCTGTGGGAGGAGAGAGCAAAATATTTCAGTCAAGGCCAGACGCAAGTCAACCCCCTTCCTGAAGGCCGAACAAAGGGGCCCCTTTGCTACAAGCCACTCAAGGAGAAACGAAGGAACGGAGAGGGGCCCCAATGCGGGAACAGCCATGTACCCCAAATTTTAAAAGACTCAGAAAAATGGGTCTCAGCGCCAGAATTTATGCGCGATTAAAAACCTCTGCAGAAGTGGAGAGACTCGGGGGAAATGTCGGTGGGTGCAGAAACGAGACCCTTGTAAAACAAGAGGTTTTTCTTCTGCTGCCTGACCCCTCCGAAGTGTCCAACCGAGAGGCGTTCTGCGCATGCTCAAAATCCCCACCTCCCTGTCCTTTCCCAGACCCACCTTGCAGGTAGGGGTCTTCCATCTCGGAGTCGGTGGTGGTCTCTTGCAGCTGGGGCTTCTCTGCCAGGATAGCCTGCGCATACTTCTTCTTCAGGTTCCCCACCAGCAGTGAGGAACGACCCACCTGTCCGGGGAAGAGCAAGATGGGGATTAAAGAGAGCCTACCCCCCCCCCCGCAAAGAAAAGATTTTTGGGGGCCCGCAAGAATTGGGAGTCAAGGAAGAGGCTGAATTCCCCACCCAGGAAAGCTCTGGAGCACCTGCCCACTCTCAAAATAAAGCCCCCCAGGCGCTCCCCACTTTTGTCCCACCCCCCCAGGTTCATTCTGCACCCCATCTAATTCTCCTTTAACTCCCCCACCCCAATTTCAGGTGGAGCAGAGAGAGAGGAAGGGAGAGAGAGACACAGAGAGAGAGAGAGGGAAGGAGAGAGACAGAGACAGAGAGACGGAGAGAGAGGGGGAGGGAGAGACAGAGACAGAGACACAGAGAGCGAGAGAGGGAAGGAGAGAGAGAGAGAGGGAGGGAAAGAGAGAGAGGGAGAAAGAGAAAGACAGAGAGAGACAGAGACACAGAGAGAGAGAGACGGAGACAGAGACACAGAGAGAGAGGGAGCGAGAGGGAGGCAGGGAGGGAGAGAGAGACAGAGAGAGAGAGAGGGAGGGAGGGAGGGAGACCTACCGGGAACGGTTCAGCCCCTTCCTGGATGACGAATCCCTCGATCAGATGAGTCAAGATTTGGGGCTTCACGATGGCTTGGGGGGGCAGCTTGTTCTCCCCGTTTTGGGGCACGGCGCTGGGAACGGTGGAGGCAGCACTGCCGTTTCCTGATGTCATGCCGGGGCTGCTGGGGTCTGGGGGCGTGCGAACGCTGCCGGGGGTGGCCTCTGCCAGGGGGGGAAGAGCGAGGAGAGGAGGGGCAGGCGTGAGGCCGGGTTCGGAGACAAAGGCAGAGGCCCCGGGCGCAAGACAGCCCTGCCCCTCCCGCCCTGCCCTGATTACCATACAGCTGACTCCCCCCCTCCCCTTGCCAGAGACCCACGCTGGACAGCCCCTCGCTGAAGCCCAGCTACACAATCCCAACGGCGCTGGAGCTGCACAACCCCCAGCTGTGAGAGTCCCTGGTGCTCTCTGGACTGGGCCGTTTTCATGACACAAATTCGGGAACATCATCCCTGCTAGTAAGATTAATAAATCAGTAAAAGTAGCTACTTTATTAGCACTGATGATGTCACCTAGTTGGGTCACGAAACATCTGCAAGAAAACCAAAAGCTCAGAGAGCATCAAGGACCCCACACTCTTCCTCCTCCTCCAACCTCTCTCCCTTCTAGCACTTGTGATGTTCCCCAGTTTGGGTAATGAAACCTCTGCAAGGAAACCACCAAGCTAAGAGGGGACCAAGGACCCTTCAGTCCTCCTCCTCCCTGCAATCCCCCATTCCCTTCAGGCACTGATGATGTTCCCTAGTTGGGTTATGAAAGGTCTGGAAAACACCACCAAGCCTCAGGGAGCACCAAGGACCCCTCATTTCAAACCTGAGCTGCAAATATTCCCTTTTGTCGCAGCCCTGATTGGGCTAGGAAGCTCCTTTCGGGTGCACAATCCCTCCCCCTTGTTTTAAATTCAGCTCCCAAGACACTGACACCAAAGGGACTAGGAACTTGAAAGCCATGCCAGCAAGCACAAAAGCCAGAGCCCACACCCTTGGGGTTTCTCTCGTGGTCCTGGTTGGGCAAGATCCTAGGAAAGTCACAAGAGGAGGACTGGGTCGTTCTTCCTGGCCCCTGGCCCCACTTGGGGAACCTGATTTTGGGGTAGTGCGGGGGGGTGTCAGGTAGAGTCTAAAGCCTTGCCTCTTGAAAGCTGGTTTTGTGGCGCATCAGGAATAGCACATATTTCGTTTACAAAGTGGGCTTGTTAATTCCCACCACAAGCTCCATTCGGGCCACCAATGCGAGGAAAAGCTTTATTTTTGTTCCTATTAACATTTCCGAAGGCACAAACTCCTATGCATCACTCTCTCCCCCCACCCCAAAATAACCAAAAAGGAGGGGAAAACTTAATTATAGAACAATCACATCTAAGCGAGACTTGAATTCAGCTTAAAAACGGTGCATTTCGGGGGAAATGCAGCCCTGAAATGAAACCAGACAGGTTTTCCATCCCGGTTCCGGGATCCAAACTGGTGAGAAAGGGGTGGCAAATTGGTACCCCAAATTTCCGATCACCAAGGGATGTGGTAATGCTCACCACTTCATATTTGCAACAAGTGTGCAAATTTTGGTAAGGCACAGATATTTTTATTAATAATAACATTCTGTCATGATATAACCCATGGAAAGTTACAAGATTTTTGGACATGATGAGGATGGTTATTTCTGGATAAGGAGTGGCTTCGTGGACTCAGTGAGGACTAGAAACTTTAGGAGGCTGTGGAAAGGACACAAAGCACAGTTCCTACCTGTGTAGCTAAATTTTCCCCCTCCTCTGATTGCTGACTTACGTGGAGTAAATTGTTTTATAGAAGCAAACAAACAGAAAACCAAGGCATGAATTCATATAAAGCTAAATAAAAAACAAAATGAGCACATCTAACAAATTAAAGTCATTCGGAGGAACACAGAAAGCGCTTTGGAAGATCTATATGCAGCTACCGGGGTTGTGTTCCTTGTTTACAAATATTATATTTGGGGAGGGAATTCTAGGGTCCAAACACTGTTTTTTTTTTGTTATGTTCCAAAAACATATATCACCACTTGGTTTTTTATCTCTTATCTCTCTCTTTCTCTCTCTCTCTCTCTCTCTCCCAAAAACAAGGCATATAACCCAAATTATCCAGCAGTAACTCCAGACCAATTGGCAAAGAAGGAAGAATTCTTGGGTTTTGCAAAGTAGGATAAAAATAACAAAACCACCCAGGTTTCTGGACCTCATGATGTCCAAAGCAGGATGTTTACGCAGGCAGAAAGCAGTGTTTAGAAACAAGGCAAATTCTGGCCAAAAATAATGGCTTTTCACACGAAGGAATCACAATCGTATCCACAAGGAATTGTGTAAAAACGAGGAACCGGGCTTCGCACGGTTACGATGCTCTGCAAGATTTTCTGCTCAAAAAAACACCCAAATCTGCAAATGAGAAAAAGGAGAAGCCAATTTTTTCTCTCTCTGTTATTTTGCAGAAAGCGGAGTGAGACGTTAAGGCCTGTTTCTATCGTGCAGGAGTTCCAAGCTGTTTAACCGGGGGAGGGGGGGGGGATAGTCTTGATGTGACATGCACAAGGCTTTGCACGCCAAGCCGCCTGGCGACACACGCATGAGGGAGCTTGTTGCTCGCCCGCCCGCCCGCCTTTGCAATGCCCTGGAGACGCGACACTCCCTGCTCACGCGCCTCCCCGCCCGCCGGCCTCCCCCGTCGCAGGAACAACGCGTGCAACCTTCACAACAGAAGCCAGCAGGCACCCTTCGCAAGGCATGCTGGGAGCAGCCTCGGTCAACAAAAGACGCCCACCTGCCCACCACATCCTGCTGCTCCTGCAGCAAAGGAGCTTCGCCAGTTGGCCTTCGGCCTGCGTGGATTGCCAAAGGAAGAACGGCCAAGCTGGACCCTCGGAGGAATTTCTGTTCTTGTCCATGAATCACACAAGGCCGTTCTTGCCTTGGGGCAATCTGGAGGACGCCCCAAAGCCCAGCTCAGGGGGGGTCCCAGTTATTATCTCTGTTGTATCCCCCCCTCCCCCAAAGTAAGCCTCCCTGGTGGGATTGGTTCGTACCATGCTTGAGCAGGGGGTTGGACTAGAAGACCTCTGAGGTCCCCTCCAACTCGTGTATTCTGTTTTTGTGACTTGGGAACACAGTGTGGTCGTAAGTCAAGGACTATCTGTGTTCCTCTACTACTAACAAACTCAAGAGAAAGAGGCTTTCTAAACAAGGGTTTGTGCACGCGTGTGTGAATGCTGAGCACCCTATCTAGGTTAGCTGATTAGCCAGGTTCAAAATCTCCACGGACTGTCTCTAAGTAAATAAAATAGTTGCAAGGATGTGGGAACCTTGTCAGTCCCTCTGAAGTACACGGCGTTCGAAAACCGATCCAAATTCACGCTGCTTCTAAAAGATTTAAGCGGACAGAAATATTCCAAGAATTCAGAGGCATGCAAAACTCACATAAATCTTACCTAAGGATTTCAGCGAACAAAAAAGGAACAAGGTTGGTTTCCAAACCCAGAGGAGTCCAGAAAAGTCCCAAGATATTCTGATTTACAGTTGGGGAAACCACCAGCAGCTGGCAGATAAATTCCCCCACCACCCTAGACTGGCCGAGCCGTGTTTTGTTCGTCAAATCACCAAGAGTTGCGCTGTCACATGAGAAGAAAGACACGAGTGGCAAAGCACAAGGGCAGAGTCCACGCAGTTCCCCTTAGCCGGTAAGTGGGAGGCTGTGTCTGCAAAACCAGAACCAAAGGCTTGGGCCGGTGGCTGGATTAACTATGGTTCCACAAAGGGGGTTGGACTAGAAGACCTCCGAGGTCCCTTCCAACTTTATTCTTCTGTTTTTCTGCTCTCCAAAAACGGAAGGGGAAGAAATGCTCAGCGTCACCACGGCACATGCGCGGGGAAGGAGGCGCTGGCACGGAAACCCTGGCAGGGAGGGAGGGAGGGAGGGCCACCAACACAAAGAGAACAAACCCCACCCCTCACTCAGCTGTGAGCCTGGAATTATTGTGGGTTTTCTGTTCTCACCCTCAGGATCTGGGGAGCTGGCTTTGCTACCCCACTTGCACGCTCCATGATGCTCTCTCTCGGTGCAAATCCACTCAGGCTGGGCTCTGAAACCCCCTCTCCAACACACACACACACACACTTCCAGATGAGGGTGGAGGACCCCCCCCCCCCCCCCAACCGTGGCCATAATCCAATCAGACCCAGCCTGCCTCCTTTCAGACGCCATCTGGACTCACAATGCAAATTCAAGCTGGCTTGGAAAGCAACGGAAACCCATCACCCATCAGGCCCACCCCCACTGGGAATTCCTGGCCATGTGGTGCTCCCACCGGAAGGACAGGCGAGCCAGCCCCTCCCCCCTGGAGAACGGGAGGGGGCCCGGGCCGCTCTCTTATTTATTTCCTGTTTCTTTATCTGCTCCTATGGAAACAAACCTGGGCAGCCAGTTGGAGGCCTCTCAGAGGCAGCAACCCCCAAAACAAATGGGGGAGGGTCTCTTTTCTGAGAAAAGAGGAATTCATCCCCACTTGTTACTGGGGACATTTAACCAATTCTCTCATTGCAATCAATCTCTCAGATGATAAAATCGTAGGCTTGGAAGGGACCCTGGAGGTCTTCTAGTCCAACCCCCTGATCAAGCAGGAGACCCTCGGCCATTTCAGACAGGTGGCTGTCCAGTCTCCTCTTGAAAAGCTCCAGTGTTGGAGCAGCCACAACTACTTCGGGAGACCAGCTGTCCCACTGGTTAATTGTCTTCACTGGAATTAAGGAAGTTTCTCCTTAATTCCAAGTTGCTGGAATTGGATTCAAAATTAATTTCCGGAGCAGAGGAACGGAAGGAAGGGAACCACAAGGGGATCTGCTAAGCGACGGAAGAAGAAAGAACTATTTATAGTCATAAAAAGCTGCCTTTGTGTCCTTCCCACCCTCCGCCACAAGCCACTTCCTGGAAACAAGAATCCTCTGACAAACATAACGAGCGCTGAAAAAAAACCCACCTGAAAATATTTAATCGATCGCCCTCAAAACAGGAGTCAGCAAAGTGACAACAGTCCTCCAGGAAAGCCAAGCAAACTTCCGCCGTGGAGAGCCCGAAGGATGATTTTGAGCGAGCCGCCCCTCCCCTCTTTACAGAGAGAGCTTCTCCATAAGTGAAACAAAAGGAACTTTTTCTTCACATTCTTTTAGAGATAAGTTGTGGAGGGATGCACAATGGGGGGGGGGGGGGGACACACCATCTGTCACCAGAATAGACACACACACAAAATTTCCTCTTCCCTTGTGGATTGCAGGGGAAGGAAAGGTGGCTTCTCCCAGGAGTCGTAGTTTAGGAAGAAGTTTGGAAAACCAGACCAGGTGAAAGGGAGTTCCACACCTGGGGCGGGGGGGGGGGAAGGTTAGGGGGAGGGTTAGGTGCCCCCATGGCACTGTGATAGAGTCCCCCCAACTCAGTAGCCACCTTAAGACGGGCGGACTTCAACTCCCAGAATTCCCCGGCCAGCATGAGGTTCACAAAATATCACTGAAAAAGTTTGAGGAAGAAATTGAAAGCAGCCTCACCTGGATTCTGCTGGGTATAGTAAGTGGGGAGAAAGAGGCCTGCAAATTTCTGTCACCAACAATGAACAACGTCGCTGCCCATTTCGGACTCTCTCCAATTTCTCAACGTGGCCTACCTCAAAGGGCTGGTTGGGTTAAAAGGAGACTCCTCAGGTCAGCAACCCAGTTACAAACCCACCAAAAACCAGGGAGACCATCTGCCCAAGGAGTTTGCCGCTTCTGGCTAATGTCAACACCAGCGTGTTTGGATAACCCGGGTCAGGCCTCGGGGGCTGTGTGAAGGGTTGGTTAGGCGAATCAAGGGAAAGATTTACGGACAGCTTTATGGCTGGGGGGGGGGAGGGGGGGGCAGGGACCCCGACTGGCTACCCCACAACCTATCCAGCCCCCTCCCCCCCCCGCACTTCCAGCCCAGGAGAAAAAGCACCATGGGCCTTGCAGTCTCAAAGGATTCCAGGGCCAAGTTGCTTCCCATCGGAAAGGGGCTCCTGAAGCCCCTCACAAGAGCACTGCAAACTGCATCTGGGATGGGAGTTGTAGTCCAAGCCCCCCCCCCCCCGAACGAGGCCCCCAGAAGTGCTGTTACTCAAAGGCCCCGCGGACCAAACGCCCGTTTCTCTAGAGAGTGGAACTCAGGACCCCGGACCCAGAGGGAGGGAGGGGGGGAGGGAGGCTGGCTGGGAAGCATGGGCGCTGGAGTCCCGAAGGAGCTCCGTCGGGGAGGCGATCGATCGTGCTTTCCTCCGCGGGGAGAGCCGGGGGTTTCAGCCCGTTTCAGAAGCCAGGTTGAGCAGCCGGGGTCCCACGCGGGGCTCCTCTGCCGACCCACGGGAGACCCCCCCCCGAGCAGGGTCCAGGGGGGCCTTTCCCGAAGGGCGAAGGGCGAGATCCGGGGGCTCCACGCCGCTTACCTGCCTTCCCTGCGCCACCTGAGTCACCTGCGCCGCCCGGCCCGCCCAGCACCCCATCCGCGCTCCGGCCGGGCGGCGGCAGAAGGGAAGAGCCGGGGCGAAGGGGCGTCGCGGGGCCGCGAACAATGCCGCCCGCCGAGCCGAGGGAGGAGAAGCCGGACGGGGAGGCGCCGGGCCCACCGCCCCCGCCCCCGCCCCGACGCCGCTCATTGGCCGCCTCGCCCGGCCGCCTCCAGCCCAGCGCAGCGCCCTCGCCGGACAGCGCCCGGGGAAGCCCCCGGAGGTCATCCAGCCCACCCCGCGCAGCCGGCGCCCCAGAGCCCCTCCCGCAGGAGGCCCCGGGGGGAAGGAGGCGGGCCCTCGGGGGCCCCTTGCAGCCGTTTCAGGACCCAGCGAGGGAACAGCAGCAGCGGCGCTCCAGTCCACTTGGGTCCCGCAAGGCCTGCGGGAAAAGAAGCGAGCCCAGGGACCCTCACTTCAACCCTGGCAGGCCCTCCAGCCCGGCCCCTCCGCAGCCATCCCTGCTGGGCAATGAAGGGGGGAGCCGCTCCCCTCTATCCCTCCCGTAGAACAGAGACTAAGGGGGCCGGAAGGGGCCTCAGAGGTCCTCCAGTCCATCCCCCTGTGGGAGCGGGAGACCCTCCGGGGCCATCCACTTTTGGGCAGGAAAACAAGGAAAGGAAAGCTCTCGCCTACCCGGAAAACCTCCTGATTCCCACAGCCCCAAAGGACGGCAGGACCCCTCCCCCAGTGGCAGGGCCGGGCTCAGGGCACCAGATTTAAACAAGGGGGGGTTAGGGGGTTTTTTTTGGGGGGGGGGGGGGGTGGGGGGAGGTTGGCAGAAGGAACGGTTCTTCCTTTGTCTACATTTGGCTTAATCTTATTAGGCCTGCCAATCACCTTCTGCCCTCCACACCACAAGACAGATGCCGGGCTTTTTATCCACACACACACACACACACACACACAGACATTGGGGGGGGGGGCGTGTTCCGCACTGTAACAAAAGCCAAGAACAATTTTGGAGGGTCTGTAACCCACCTACACATTTGAACCAGGTGGCATGAGAGGGAGGGCGGGGGGGGGGCCCCCCCCCCAAGGGCCCCTGTTTTTCAGACCCCCCCCCCAAAAAAACTTCCAAATTGTAGCAGCCCCTGCCCTCCCCCTCCAAATGACGCCCATCCCACATCAGGACTACGAATCCCAACATTCCCAGCTAAGGAGGCATCTCCTTTGTTTTAGCCACTGTTTGGAGGGGGGGGTCAAAGGTTACCCTCTGCCTCCAAACGGCACGGGGGGGGGGGGGCTGCCCAAACACGCCCCCCCCTCCATGATCCAGGACAAAGGGCTGGGCTGGGAAAGCAAACAAAACAGGCAAACCCTAAATAATCCTTGCATTTATTCTGGTTCATTCTGGGTTGTTTTTTTTTAATCCAGTTTAGAAATGGGTTTATTTGACTTTTTCTTTCTCCCTGTATATGTGGTTAAACTTTTGCAAAAATCGGAGAAGAAAGGGAAGCTAATTTTAACCTAAATTTAAATTAAACCTAAATTTAAATTTAAGGTTAAATTTAGTTTCCCTTTCTTCTCAGATTTAAATTTAAATTCAGACTAAAGTACGGAAGGGGCAAATTTTTTTAATGTTAGATTTAGAGGTCGGTTAAACTGGATCTCCCCCCACATCGTGGCCAGCTGTGGCCCCACTCAATCACGCGGGACGGAGAAAGGAGCTTTTGAGGCTACAAATAAGGGAAAAACAGAATAACCGAGTTGGAAGGGACCTTGGAGGTCTTCTAGTCTAACCCCCGGGGCCATGGGATCGCAATAGGCGGCCTTCTAACAAGCCGTGTCCGTGAGGAAGCACGATTCGCTTAACAGCAGTGATTCGCTTAAGAACCAGGGCAAAAGCTGTAAAATGGGGCAAAACCTGTTTTAACAGCTGCCTTGTTTAGCAATGGGAATCTGATGCCGTGTTGTGGTCGTAAGTCACAACTTCACAGCAGCAGTGAGATTTTCAACATCCATGGGAGAAAAGGTCGTAAAATCGGGCACGGCAGCCCCTCCTCTCCCCCCACTTAGCAAGGGGGGTTCCGCTCCCCATCATGGTCGTAAGTCGAGGATTATGGTAAGGGAAAGAAATGACAGTCGAGGGCCAGTTGGCCCCGGGGGGGGGGGTGTCTATTTTTCCGCCTTGTGGCATCCGAGTATTGTGGCCACGGGTGCAAATTCAGACAGGCGTCTTTCCTGCAAAATTTGATTTGTTGCAAATACGACCGGTTGCGGGTTTTGGGGAGGGGCTTCGGGGGGTGGGGTGTCCCATGCCATCTTTGAAAGCTTTTTCCAGATGTCTTTACGTGTTTCCACTGAAACAGCAGCTGGAGGGGAGGGAGGGGAGGGGGTGTTTGTGTGAAATGGGAGTTTGCATGAGAGAAAGGCAGCTGCTTCTGGGAGGGGGGGGCAGGTGTGGCCTGTGTGTCTCCTCCCCAATTCCACCCCCCCCTGCTTCTCAGCAGGACCCCCTCCCACGCATTTTCCACAAAGCCCTGTGTGACTTTCAAGTAGTATTGTCCAGCCTGGGGGGGGGAACGGATTGTCTTGCCCCCCCCCAAGAATGCAGATGTGATCTCACCCCTCCCGAGGGGGGGGGCATGCTGAAGTTTTGCTCCATTTAACAGGCGTGGAGGGGGGTGGGAAGCCGGGGTCAGGGATCCAGCTGTGGGGTGAAGCAGAGAGGGCAGCTCTATTGTGTTTGGGACAGTCGCGCCCCCTCCCCAAAAAAATGTCTGGAAAGCAGACAAAAGGCAGTTGCTGCCCTGCTTCTGGGACCCCTCCCCGGCCACAGATCGGGGAGGGTGACATTCATGGGGCAGAAAGGGAGCTGGGTAAAAGAACGACAAAGGGGACCCCGATTTTCCTCGGGGGGGTGGGAGGAGCATCTCAAGGAACCCCGTTTTGCCATTTTTATGGTTGCTAGGACCCCCCCCTCCTCACAGTAAAGGGCCCCTTCATTTCGCCCCTTCGAACGGTCACTAAAGAAATGGTCGTAAGTCCACAGATTGTCCTTGACTTACGACCACAACTGAGCCCAAAATAGGGAGTTTTATAAGCCCCCCCCCAACTCATAATCTTTGCCTCTAAGCAGCCTGCATTAAAAAAACAAGGCTCCCAAATAAAGATTACAGGCAGTCCTCAACATACAACAGTTCATTTAACAACCACAGTTACAACGGCCCTGAAAAAAGTGACTTAGGACAGTTTTTAACATTTAGTGATGGTGGCAGCCATCCACGTGGTCAAAATTCAAACAATTGGAAATGGACTCATAGTTATGACGGCCGCAGCATCCCGGGGGTCACCCGATCCCCTTTTGCGACCTTCTGACAAGTTCTCCCCATTTTGGCCAGACCTTTAGAGCCCATAATCCTCGTCCAAATCTCCTCAGAGCCCAGGCTTCTGCAGGCTTCTGCAGGTAGACTGCCCTGAATGGGGAAGTTCCTCTGAGTGATCCCCAATCATAAGTAACTTTTTCCAGATTCCTGGGAAAGGAAGGCGTTGCCTACCGTGCGGTGGGGGTCCGGTACCCTCGGAAGGTGGTGGTTTGGGAGGGGCCGAGAGAGACGTGCAGGCAGCTTCGGGGGAGAGGAGAGCCGGGTCTTTCCGGGGACCCTCCTGGACGCTCAGGGGCAGCTGCAGACCGAGAAAGGAAGCGGAAAAAGGAGTCAGAAGAGAAAGTCCAAACATGCAAAGAAATTCTCCCGATGATGGATGGAAAAGAATACTTGTACCTCCACCCCGCCCGCACTCACCGTCCCAACGGGCGGCTGTAGCTGGAGAATGACTGCAGACGTGTGTTGGAACTTGGGCTGAGCTGTGTGGTTCGGACACCCGGCGGGACGTCCGTCTGTCCGCTGCAGCCCCAGGGCAGGAGGGCCGGGCAGGTGTGGGGACGTGTGGCTGGAATTCGGCCTGTGCTGGGTGGGAGACTGGCAAGATGGCAGGTGGGCTGAGGGGGCGTTGAGGCTGGGGGCAGGGGTGTTGAAGGCTTGCAGGTGGGGGGGTTTGGGCTGGAGTTGCTGCTGGATTACAAACTGGTGTGGGAGGGGCTTTGTCTGCTGTGGTTGCGGCTGAGTCTGGGCTGGGGAATAAGCTGGAAAAATAAGGGAAAAAAAGGGGGGGGGAGAAGACCATTACTTTCCCACCAGGAAGCAAAACCTGCTACCAGCGTCCCCTCTTCTGTGTTCTTTTAGGCAGAAACATGATTTTGTTTACTTAACTCAAAAGAGAAGGAAAAGGAAAAAGAGAAGGGAGAGGAAAAAGAAAGGGAGGGGAGGAGAGGAGAGGAGAGGAAGGAAGGAAGGAAGGAGAGAGGGAGGGGGAGGGAGAGGAAGGAAGGAAGAAGGGAGGAGGAGAGGGAGGGAGGGAGGGAGGGAGGAAGGACCTTGAACCACAAGGAGTCCCCCTCCCCAGTCCTTTCCTGTGGCCAGGCCACCTTCGGACACACTCACCTGGGGCAATCAGGGCGTGAGTGGTGGCGGGAGGGCCTGTCCGGTTGGGGGCGCTGCCTCGTCCGTCCAAGGCGGCCACTGTCCCGTTGCTGCTGCCGCCTGCCCCTCCCCCTTCACCTTTCCTCAGGTGCTCGGAGAGGAGCTCGTGTCCGCCTTCCTTGGCGCCCTTCGCCTGAGCCGCAGGGGAGGTAGAGGAGGCCGAGAAAGGGGAGGCCGAGGAGGAATGGCTGCCGTTATTCAGAGCGGGTTTGATAGCCACGGCAGGCGATGGCGGCTGACCCGCGCTGGAGCTCAGCGCCTGGCTAACGGCTTGCTGCGTCCGGAGGGCCGAATTCTGCACCTGGAGACAAGAGGGCGTCTCAGGAGAAGCTTCCGCCACAAATAGTCCTTAATTTACAACCGATCGTTGAAAGTTACAACGGTGTTGGAAAAAGTGACTTATGACCATTTGTCACACTTACGACCGCTGCAGCCTCTGCACGGTCATGCAACTGACTCGTATTTATGACGGCTGCAGTGGGATCACGTGATCCCTTTTGCGACCTTCTGGCCAGCAAAATCAGCGTGGAAGCCGGATTCACTTAACAACCGGATTGCCAGCTTAACATCTGCAGTGATTCGCTTAACGACTGTAGCGAGAAAGGTTGTAAAGGGGGGAGGGGCAAAATTCACGTCACAACGGCCTTTGCCTAGCAGTGGAAACTGTGGGCTCAGGTGCAGCGTTGAGCCAAGGGCTACCCGTGCAGGGAAGGCGTGCAAAGGAAGGCCCCCTTACCTGAGGTGCGGTGGTGGTGGGGGGCTGCATGCTGCTGCTGCTGGTCCCCTCGGGCTGGACGGCGGCGACGGTGGGGGTGAAGATGAGCTGGGGGGACAAAGGAACAGCACGGCCTAGGCTCCTAGCTACTTGCATTAAACTTGTCTGCTGGGCCTGAAAATCACAGCAAATGGTTCCCCCGTTGCTGATCCCAGCCAGCCAAGCCCAGCAAAACACAGAACGACAGGACGAGAGGGCTGGGAGGGACCCCCGGAGGCCCTCTAGTCCAACCCAGCAGGAGACCCTACACCATTCCAGACAAACGGCTGCCCAGCCTCCTCTTCTTGAAATCCTCCAGGACTGGAGCCCCCACAACTTCTGGGAGAGGCCGTCCCACTGATTAACTGATCTGGGATTATAAATAAGAGAATAACAGAGTTTGAAGGGACCTCGGAGGTCTTCTAGTCTAACCCCCTGCTCAAGCAGGAGACTTTAAACTATCCCGGTCAAATGGCTGTCCAATCTCTTCTGGAAGACCTCAATGGAGATCCTCAATCATCCAGGTCATGATTATCCCATATTGCAATTGTACTTTCTTCTTGGTTTTTTCCTCCCTGAAAACATTTTGCTCCTCATCCAAAAAGCTTCTTCAGTTCTACCTTCTTCACTGTCCCAGGATCACATGGTCCTTTTCTGGGACCTTCTGACAAGCAATGGGGGAAGCTGGATTCACTTAACGGCGGGGGCAAGGAAGCTCATAAAATGGGGCAGAACTCATTTCACCACTGCCTCGCTTAGCAACAAAGTCGGGGGCTCGATTGTGTCGTAAGTCGAGGACTACCTGTAATTAAGTCGCTTGGAGGAATCTGCAATTGTGTTTTCTCAACGACGGCAACAAAACTAGTGTCAACACTGACACACTAGCAACGCAGCTTCGCACCCTCCCTGGATGCAGAGATAACCTCCTAGTGGATTTAACCCTAGGGTGGAAGGACCCCTCCCCTCCTCGGGCCAAACCTGGACACCCCCCCCGGGGCGCCCCCAACGGAGCATCGCTTACCATCTGTGCCCGGAGATACATTTGTGCCTGGCTGGCACTCAGGGTCGGGTTGCTGCTGTTGCCCAAAAGCACAGCTTGCTGGGCGATGCCCGAGGCGGTGGCGGCCGCAGAATTCGCACTCTGCGCCCGGTTGATGAGCTGGGCCGCCGCAGGGGAGGTGGCCAAGTTGATCTGGACCGAGAGACGAGCGAGTCAGTGAGCCCAGCCGCATCTAAGGAAAGGGGAGCCCCCAAGTACTCGGGAGAAACCGAGGCAGGCTCTGTCTTACCGTGGGCTGCTGCGGGGGGGTCTGCGTGGCCCCGTTGGAGGAGGGGGAGACGCCCTGCCGATTGGCTGCCAAGCTGGCCTGTGAAAAGGGGGAGGGGGAGCGGGACCCCCCACTGCGTTAAAGTGGCATTCCCGCAACCCAAGAACCTTATGAAAATCTTAACAAATAAATAACGAAAATCAAACTAAATAAATTTGGTTGAGCTGATACAAGGAGTTCTTCACTTGCAGCCATTCATTTAGTGACCTAATTTAGTTATATATATATATATATATATATATATATATATATATATTATATATATATATATATATATATATATATATATATATATATATATATATATATAGGATAGCCAATATGTATTAAATGGGGAAGAAATGTTACAATAAATGAAATGATAATATCAAGATACGATAAAGATTGGAGGAGTAAGAAGATGATACACTGAATGATTATGTATTGTATGTATTTTTGTCTATAAAATAAAAAAACTTTTTATTAAAAAAAAATTGGGTTCCATTATGATCGTAAGTCGAGGACCACCTGTCCCAAATGAACCCCTTTTGCAATCTTGGGGGGGGTGGAGTGCCCCAAGAGGAAGACAAACCTTTCCTGGCGGGTGCCCCCCCGTTCCCCACTCTCCCGCCCCACAGATGGGAGTCCCTGCCTTTTTGCGTGGCCTCCCCCCCCCCGGAGCGGCAGACCTGTTGGATGGCGGCCAGACTTTGCAGCTGGCTGCTCCCCAGGTGCTGCTGCTGGAGGGCGGCCGTTTGCAGCATCAGATGCTGTTGCTGGGCAGCGTACATCTGCTGCAGGTACTGTGCGGCCGTGTTCGGTTGTCGGTGCAGAGCTTGCTGGATCACCTGCCCAGGAAGAAGAAGAAGAAGGAGAAGAGGGAGAGGAAGAAGGAGAAGAGGAAGAGGAAGAAGGAGAAGGAGAAGAAGAAGAAGGAGGAGGAGGAGGAGGAGGAGAAAAGAAGTTTGCAAAAAGAGGAAGAGAAGGAGGCCCCCAGACGCCTCCCACTCACCCCCACCCCTCCGGGCGTGGAAAGAAACGTGCCAAAGCTTGTTCTCCACCCCAAAATCCTCCCCTGGGACCTCACCTGCCTTCTGAAAAGTAAGAAAGGGACGGAGATTTCCACCATTCCGAAGGCAATTTTGCACGCCTGACCTAAAACATTTTGCAATTCTTCCGGGCCGGCTTTACGAATCGGGCTTACGACGATTCATTTAGTGATTCATTGTTCACACTTGATGGCCATTGCAGCACACACAGACACACCGTGGTCACGTGATCAAAATTCAGATGCTGGGCCACTCATATTTATGACGGCCCCACTGTCCCGGGATCACGTGATTCCCCTTTTGTGACCTGACAAGCCAAATCAAGGGGGAAGTAGGAAGGAGCTTGATCTCTAACACCTTACATGGTAAACCAGGGGTTTGTAAACCGCAGCTGCAGTAGCTTTCTCCTTCTCCAGCACCCCAGAAATAAATCACAGAATCATAGAAGGGACCTCGGAGGTCTTCTAGTCCAACCCCCTTCCCAAGGCATCAGACTTCATACCATCCCAGTCCAAAGGCTGCCCATAAACTGTTTCAACTCCGACCCTCAAAACGACGCTATGGAGCACTGCACACCGGAACAACTAGACACAAGGACAGTTTTTTCTCGAACGCCATCACTCTGCTAAACAAATAATTCCCTCAACACTGTCAAACTATTCACTAAGTCTGCACTACTATTAGTCTTCTCATCGTTCCCACCACCCATCTCCTCCCACTTATGACTGTACGGCTGTGTTGCTTGGATCCTTACGATTTATATCGATATTGTTTCCTGATTGCTTATTTGTTCCCTATGACTATCATTAAGGATTGTACCTTATGATTCTTGACGAACGTATCTTTTATTCTATGTACACTGAGAGCATATGCACCAAAGACAAATTCCTTATATGTCCAATCATACTTGGCCAATAAAAAAAAAATATTCTATTCTATTCTATTATTTCTGAAGGCAACCAGGGATGGAGCACCCACAACTCCTGGTGGCAAGCAGTTCCACTGATTGATTTTGTTCCGATTATCAAGAAATTTCTCCTTAATTCTAGGCTGCTTTTCTCCTTGAAAGTTTCCATCCATTGCTTCTTGTCCTGCCCTCTGGTTGAGGCATGGAAAAAAACCATGCATTTAACCCAAATTCCCCTCTCTCGGTGTGTTGCACCACACAACCCTTTGAAAATCTTGTGCGTTTTGCAAACAGGCTTGCAAAGAAACTCACGAGAAAGTTCAGGTATTTTCAACCACATGACTTTTTGGAAATCTTGTGCGTTTTGCAAAGAAGCTTACCTTTTTTTAAAAAAAAAAAACTCAAATGAAGTCCAGGAGTGTTCAACCACACAACTTTTTTGAAGCCTTGTGTGTCTTGCGAAGACGCTTACAAAGAAACTCAGATAAAGCGTTCGGCCACACAACTCTTGGCAAATCTTGTGCATTTTGTAAATAGGCTTGCAAAAAAAGTCAGATCAAATCCCAGGCAGGAAACGGGATTTGAATAAAGGGTTGCTATCTAAATATCTTACAGCTTCCTCGCCCCCTCCCCATAAATGGGGGGGGGAAGGGAGAGGAGGGGGGTCAGATCAAAGGTTAACCAGCCTCAATGAAGGTCTTAATGCTTTGACCTTGTAGGCAGGGGATTTGCAAGGGGTCCCGGGGGAGCGATCAAAAGGAGTCATCAATCATCCCCCTGACATTCCCACGTGAGTCAAAGAATCCAAAACGAAGCCTTAGCAGCCAGTGGGCAAGTGCTACTTAAACAACGTTGTGTATTTTGCTTCCACAATGGCACACAATTCTTCCAGGGACACAACACCGATTGGACTCTCTGCCTTCTCCTCAGTGGCAGGAAAGCCCCCCCCCCCCCCGTTTTTAATTTGATTTTTTCCCCCTGAAACCAATAATGCTTAATTGATGTAGGGAAGGAAAAACTCACAGGGTAGAGGATCCGGGTGGCCCTTGACTTATAACCGTTTGTTTAGTGACCGTCAAAGTTACAAAGGCACTGAAAAAAAGGACTTAGGAGCATTTTTCACACTTATGACCGTTGCAGCACCCCACCCCCCCATGGTCACGTGATCGAAATCCAGACACTTGGCAACTGGCATGGACTTATGACGGTTGAGGGTCACGTGATTCCCTTTTGCGACTTTACGACAAGCCAGGTCCAGGGTGAAGCCAGATTCGCTTAACAACCAGGTCACTAACTTAAGAACTGCAATGAATAGAACAGAACAGAATAGAATAGAATTCTTTATTTATTGGCCAAGTGTGATTGGACACACAAGGAATTTGTCTTGGTGCATAGGCTCTCAGTGTACATAAAAGAAAAGATATGCTCATCAAGATTCACTTAACAACGAGAAAGTCAGTAAAAGGGGGAAAAACTCTCACTTAATAACTGTCTTGTTAGCAACAGAAATTTTGGGCTCCATTGTGGTCGTAAATCAAGACATCCCAGCTGTACTGGGATGTCTTGAACTTCAATTACAGAATTCCAGCTGTAGATTCTCGCAGTTGTAACTTCAATGAGTGTTTTTTTTTTCGCATCATCATCATCAGTATACACAGAAGCACACACACAGAGAGAGAGACACACACACACACATCATAAAAGCAGAGAACTTAAGAGACACAATCACAAAATCACCGCACACCCGTTGGGGTACAAAACTTTTCTCTGTCCCAAAGCACACTTGGTGTGATGTGTAACCCGACCAGCGAAGGACGGTGGCTTCTGAGCCCACACACACAAAACTTCAGCAGGTGTGTGTGTGTGTTTGTGGGTGTGGCAGCATGCTTGCAAAGGTGCCTGGCTGATCTTGTGGTGTCAGGTTTGTGTGCCGTGCACACCCAGAAGGTGTTTCAGCAACAGACTGCGAGAGCAGGGAACTCGTTCTCCATCAAAAGACCACAAAAACAGAAACTCTGATTAAACCAAAACCTGGATGGGAAATCCCTGCACAGCACTTGCAAACTCTGGAGATCACCCCAAGGAACCAGCTGAACTCCCCCCGCCCCCCACGATGAAAAGCATCCTGAAAAGGGTTCACAAACAATGCAACCCGACAACGCTTGTTCCCACGCTGCAGGGAGAAACCGAGATTGTGGGTTATCTTGGCTTAAAAAAATTTCAGGATAAAAGATACCTACGCTCTGGTCCTTCGAGGCAGGGATCCCTCGTGGTCCTTCCTGCGGGCGAGGTTGGGATCCACTGCTAAAGAGATCCCCGGGCAAGGATTAAGCCTGGGGGGGGGTGGAGGGAGGGAGGGAGGGAGGGGCTATGGGGCTCTCTAAATCCGAAGGGACAAAGGTTTGGTCCCTGGGGAAGAAAGTTTGGTCCTGGAATAAAGTTTTTGCATCAGAAAGCAGTTGCCCTCCCCTGCCAGTTCCTGGAGACACACCCACCCACCCACCCACCCAGACAAATACGAACACACAAAGCCCACCCCTCCTCTCCTCTCTCCTCTCCATCCCTTGCAAAACTTTGTCTGGGTTTTTCCCCCTCCACCGCTATCCTTGGGGTTTTTTTTCCCCACCTGCATTCTCCATCCTTCCCATGTTCCTCCGCCCTTCCTGCTGGAAGATAATGGTAATTGTAGTCCAACAGGGTGAGGGGGCGGAGAAAGGACCCTTCCTTGTGGTCTGAAGATTTAGCACTTGGCACCTTTGGATGGCTGGAGAGATTTGGGGGCCGCCAGACAAAAATGGAAGGTGATTTTCGCAAGCATTTTTGTCGGTGTGTGGGAATGGTAAATCTGGGGCAGTTTTATCCAATTTTGGCACCTTAAAAAAAAAAAAGAAAAAACCAGGGCTAGGAACTTATGGAGTTCTTCAACTCTTCGAATGGATGTGCAACTTCAAAGTTTCCAAAATTTAATGGTGAAGCCGGAGTGAATCAAGACGAGACGGGATAGGTAGGATCGTTTGATCCATTTTACGACTTTTCTTCCCACAGCCGTTAAGTGAATCGGGCTTCCCCACTGAATTTCCTTGTCCAAAGGTCCCAAAAGGGGAATCACGTGACCCCGGGACACGGCATTCGTCATAAGTCCATGCCAGTTCCCAAGCGTCTGAATTTCAATCATGTGACTGCAACGGCCGTTAAGTGTGAAAAACTTTTTTCAGTCTCATTGTAACTTCCAACAGTCACTGTTGTAGTTCGAGGACTTTCTGTATCGCAAGCATGATTTGAGAGACCGGAACGCCACGCCATAAACCGTGATTAAGCAATGACTGGCCTACTCCAACCCTTGGTCACCGTTTGCATATTGTGTTGTTTGCACCAAGCCAGGATTAAGCCAACCATGTTACAAGCTGTGGGCCGGGCTCTTTCTAACCAGGAGGCCCGTTCAGAAAGGGAACTCACGCAGAGCACGACTCCTCCCAAGGCCACCTGGGAGGAGCTTCTTAATTAATTAACGTTACTTAATTCGTCCTGCATGGTTCATTCGCCTCCTGTGTTCCTCACACGGATGCCCAGCAGGGCCACGAAGGGCCACCAGAGGGCGATATTTACCAAAAGATTCCAGATCAGACTCAAGTCACAGGAACCTTGGAAGGGAACCTGGAGGTCATCTAGTCCAGCCCCACTAGAGAGATTCACATTATAACCTTGATTCAAAAACCCCAATAAATGCTTCCTGGGGAAACCCCACCCACCCACCCACACCCCACCCCACCCTGCTTTCAGCCCTTCTTTTTCTCTCTTCCCCACTGATTGCAGATCTAGGTTAATTCAGGAGGGGGGCTGTGAGGCCAAAAAATGCCCTCTACTCCCCCACTTTCACAAGGGAGGTGGGGGGAATGAAGGACGTGGCAGAGGGAATCCCCTCTAATCCTGTCAGATGGTTGAAGAGCATGCAGAAATTGTACATTAGGAAATTGCAGAGTTGGACCTCAAAGGTCATCTAGTCTGACCCGCTCTTAAGGCTACCAGTCCCAGAGGTCGGAACATGCAATTGGGTTCTTTCCAGAAATTTGGGCCCCCCAGTCACAGGCCTGGCTGCTCTCCCCTCACCTGGACGGTCTGGCGGTCGGGGATCCCACTGTAGACGGAGATGGGGGCCCCCGTCTGGCGGCCACTGCTGCTGCTGCTGCTGGGGGCCGTGGTGGCGGTGGTATTCGTGGCCCCTGGGTTGCTGAGTGGCGGCGGAGCCGGGATCTGCTCGTTCTCCATGGTGACCATGCAGGGCAGCCCGTGAGGAGTAACGTCCAAGCAGACCCTGCGAGAAAGAGGAAGAGGGGTATATTTTTTTTAAAAAGGGTTCAGTCCCGAGTTCGAATCTCGCCCTGTCTGTCTTACAACAGCCACCCCATGGATGCTGCCTGGAAAGGAAGCTCCACTGCAGACGGACAGACGCACATTTGCAGGTTTTCCACCTAGGTGATGCTTGATCTACAGTGAATGCACGAACACACACAAAAAAGTGCCTTGCTTTGGAAAATCGCAACCTGACAATCTCCACAATGGTGAGGTTGCCCCGTCCACAAAAGCCGCAATGTGAGGGTAGTCTCAGGTACAGTTTCCCCCCCCCTCTTTGGGACATGTTTCTAGGGACCGGCCCCATGTCGCTGGTGCCAATGGGAGGACTAGAACCCGGCTCTTCCCACACCATCTCTTTCCTCCCTAACTGGTATTACCTGGTCATTTGAAATCTCGAAGCTCTCCCCTTGAAATTTCACTTTCAAACCCTCCGCCATCCCAAACATCTGCTCTCTCCCAGCCTTGAGGACTAGAAACTTGCCCAGTCCGATTAGATAAATAATTTTAGATAAACCAAAATGCAAGTTCACCCCATCCAGAAAACACCACAGTACAACACAGCCCCCTCCCCACTTCCCATTGCTATAAGGACAATCATGGAAAAGTGGGTAGGGGGGTCTCACCCCCTGCTCCCCAACCTCCCCCCAGCACCTGTTTGCCCCTTACCTTCAGGACCCCGCCATTTTCAGGGGCCTCGGCTTTTGGTGGGTGTAGCTGACAGGAGCCCCGTTCATCCCCCCTGGCAATGCCCCTCAATCTTGCACCCTCCACAGGGGGCTCCAGGACATCCCACCCACCCCATTTGGACCCCGTCCCCCTCACCAAATTCCAGCAGCCGCACACAGACACACGCAGACACTCCCCCCCCTTCCAGGGATGCTGAGAGGCAATGCTGTAGTGGCTGTGCATAGGCACCTTTTGGGGAGGGGGGTCTGTCTCAGGGGCTCATCTCCCCCCCCCCACAAGCCTTTGTTCCGCTCAGCCCCAGCCGGCAATAGATACTCGGAAGAAAGACAGGCGACGGGTGGGAACTAATTTCCTGATGATTATGGCATTTCCTAGCAACGGCCAATCAGGGCCGGCCCCTTTTTGCCTGCCGTATTTCATGCAAATAAGTTTTGGAGGGGGTCTCTTCTCCCCCCACCCCCTTTCTTTAATCACGCCTGGTCAGCCAAGCGGCATTATTGCAAATCCCCTTTGCATGCCAGGGAACTCACGCCCCACCTGGAGGAGACGGCAAGGAGGGCATGGATGGGGGATGCGGGAAAGGGGGGCAGGAGGGCCCCCACCCACAAAAAGTCCTTGGCAGGCAGGGCGCCCCCTTTAACAGCCCAGGCCACAGAGAAAAGGGGCACCTTCCCAGATCAATGAACAGAATAACAACAGAACAACAGAACGACAGAATAAGGGAATAGCAGAACGACTGAATGACACAATAGCAAAACGACAGAACAACAGAACAGCAGAACGGCAGATTGACAGAACAACAGAATAGCAGAATGACAGAATAACAGAAAACAGAATAAGAGGCTGACAGAAATAGCAGAACAATAGAACGACAGAATAACGGAACAGCAAAATGACAGAATAACGTAATAACAGAATAGCAGATTGACAGAATGACAGAGTTGGAAGGGACTTTGGAGGTCTTCTAGTCCAACCCCTTGCTGGAGCAGGGGGTTGGACTAGAAGACCTCCAGGATCCCAACGGACCCTAGAGATCATTCTGGACAAATTCCCACCCGCAGCACCCCCCCCCCCCCATTTTGCAGAAATAAATACGCACCCAGCAATGCCTCCGGAGCAGCCTGAAGATTTTTCAAAGTTTGGGGGGCAGGTCTGGCAACCCTGAGATGGATTTCAGCCCCCGCCCCCCCCCCCCCCCCCCCCTGGGCAGGAAGGGGGGAAGCCCCCCGGGGGCAAAACCGGAGAATGCTTCACCAGATGAAGGGGGAAGGGACAGCGGGGGGATGGGGGGGGGGGGACCCTGCATTAATTCAGAGTGCTGGGGTAGGAAGCCCTGAGTGCTTCCTACCCCTCCCTGCCCCACGCCAGTCCATTTATCTCCCCTAATTGTTTCATTTTTACGGCCGGCGTCGCCTGGAAAGGATTCCACTCGGTGGCCCTCCCGAATCTTCCCATATTGATCAGCGGGTTCATTAGCATATCAATTAGCCGTTTCAGGGAAGATAAAAGGGGGGAGGGGCACAGCCAGATGCAAATTGATGTGGATTTAGGAGACCTTTTCATCCGATCCTATCATCCCATCCTAAGACCCCTCAGGAAAAGGTCCCGTCTTCCTTAAACAGGGTACCCCCAATTCTCTCCCCTTTGGAGAATTGAGGCTGGGGGCTTGGAGAGGCATAGGGCACCCCCCCCAACACACACAGAGGTAAGGAAAACCCCCTTTCTTTAAAACAAAAAAGGCTTTAAAGAACAGGAGGAAGTTGTGTCTGTCGACCGCGATACAGGTAGTCCTCGACTGACGACCACAGCTGGGAACCAGACATTCTGTCGCTAAGCAAGACTGTCATTAAGTGGATCATCCCTGCGCCAGATTTGGCGACATTTTTGGCCACGGTCGTTAAGAGAGACATTAAGGTTGCAAAAGGCGATCGGTTGAGCCCGGGACTGTTGCAGATACATGTCAGTTGCCTGAATCACCATCAAGGGGACATTGTGACGGCCGTAAGTGCGAGGACAGATTGTAACTCGCTTTCTTCATCATCGTGGTTAAGTCTGAACGGTTGCTAAGTCGAGGACTCCCTGCGAGGGTAAATATTGTTGTGTTAGAGCATTGCAGGTGCCCGACCTGTGGCCTCAGCGAGGTTCGAAGTTGAAATGACACTGGAAAAAGTGATTTACGACCGTTTTTTCACACTTGCGACCATCGCAGTGATCACAAGAGCAAAATCCGGACACTTGGCCACTGGTTCGTATCTACGACGGTCGCAGTGTCCCCTTTTGGGACCTCACCTTCTGATGAGCAAAGTCAATGGGGAAGCCAGATTCGTTTAACAGCCGCTTGACTAACTTAACGACTGCAGGTCGTAAAATGGGGCAAAACTCATTTAACAACCATCACACTAAGCAACGGAAATTTTCAGCCCCCGTTGTGGTCCCCCAAACGCAGGCAAACGAGACGCGTCTTAGCTCCGATGAAGCCGTCTGCCTTCCTACCCAGCTTCCCCCTTTGGGGCTCCGGGTGTAAATTTTGCAAAAAAAAAAACCCGTTAATCTCGAACGGGGAGCCTCTTTGCCAGACAGGCTTGGCCAGCTGCTCCTGCAATTTAATGATGATTAAACATGGGGGAAATTGATCGTAGCTCCCTGATCCAAGCCAGATGCCGCGTCTTCTGCCTTTGTTTACATCCTGAGAACACGGAGGTGCCGAATAAAAACACCGCTGGACATACAGTAAAAGGGGGAATTTATATATTATATATTATATATACCCCAACGCCTTCCTCTTCAGCTACAAAGAGGTTACGCTGAGCATAAGATCTACTACAGCCACGGAGAGGAGAGAATAGGAGGAGGATCAGATAGGAAAGGAACTAGGGAGGGTGGAAAACTCAATGCCCCCGTTCCTGACTTACGTCGCAAGGGGACATTCCCCATCTTGCTGGGGAATTCTGGGCGCTGAAGTCTTTCCCACCCACCCACCCCTCCTCAAGGGGCCAAAGTTGAGAGTTCGAGAGCCAGGAAAATAATCTGCTTTTCCCAACCAAAATTTTCCCAGGACGGAAGGAGGCAGAATTTGGGAAGAGAGGGAGCTGGACACGGGACACAACTGGCACAACAACACAACTGACGCAGCAGCCATGGAGGGTCTCCAGGGGTTGGGTAGAGGGGGTGCTGTGTTGCCCCTTTGCATTTGCAACTCCAGTGACAAAGAGCCCCCACCCTCAAAGAGACCCAAACATTTATTAAAGGCCTCGCTAATTCCCGGACTCGATTTTTCCCGCAGTCCCCAAAGTGGGTGCCGTGCCGACAGCGCACTGGACTTCTAGGCGCCGTGGCGTTCTTGGTTGTGGTCCCTTGGTGCAAGGTAATTAGCTCTCCATAAATGGGGGGAGGGGTGTGTGTTTGAAAGCATCTGGAAAAAATTAAAATGGATTTAACCGGTTCTAAATCTCATCTCCATTTCATTTAATCCCAAGGGACGCTGCAGTTTAGTTCAGTTGGTCCTTGACGTATGACCAGAATTGAGCCCAAAATTTCTGCTGCTGAACAAGGCAGTCGTTAAGTGAGTTTGGCCCCATTTTACAACCTTTCTTGCTGCGGTTGTAAAGTGACTTACCACTGCTGTTAAGTTGCTGCAGTGGTCGGGAGGGTGAAAAGTCACTTTTTTCAGTGCCATTGTAACTTCAAACCATCACTGAATGAACTGTTGTAAGTCGAGGACCACCTGTAGGAATAAGGGGATCCCAAGGCCACAGGACGCTGCAACTGTGCAACGTTCGCCTAACAACAGCAACCGGGACTTTCAGAGCCACAGACGCAACACGTGGCGTTGTGCTGCATCGCTTAGTGATGGAGTCGCCAGTCCCACTTACCGTCGTTAAGCGAGGAGGACGGTCTGTATTATTGTGACCTTTCTCCCAAGCTCCTCTTGTGCGAAGGCAGACAAAGAGACACACAATTGTTGGAAACATCTTTGTATCTATTCCTCTATCTATTCGTATCTATTTCAAAATGTAAATTTTGGTTTTGCTATTTGTTTGTTTTTATTTTTTGCTTGGGGGTTTCCTTGTTTTTTTTTGATGTTTGGTTGAAAACCAATCTGTCTAGCACAGAGGTGTCCAATCTTGGCAACTTTCAGACTTGTGGGCTTCCAACTCCCAGAATTCCCTGGCGGTAATATATTCCTTTTGGTATGTATCCCCATTGTATGCCTGCTTGCTCTCTTTTAGTCCCTTCCTCTGCAATCTCTGTGCTGTCGGGAGTGGGAGAAAAAGAAAACAGGCCTGGCTGGCTGGGGAATTCTGGGAGTTGAAGTCCACAAGTCTTATAATTGCCAAGGTTGGACACCCATGACGACAGGGGCCTGTGAATCCCACAATCCCCCAGCTGGCTAAGAATCCTGGGACACGTAATCCCAATTCCTCCGGGGGTGGGGGCTGGCAGTCAAGGGGGGATTGGATGCAGCTGGGACATTGAGGCTAAGAGTGAGCGGCTGTCCCAGCACGCACCCCCTCCCCAAGAACTTCGAAAGAGGGACTTTCCAGTCGGTTGGCCGGTTGTCTCATTTTGAAACAAATACACAACACACAAGAGAGGCAAACTCTCGGTTTCTGGTTAGCCGCTAGACCTACACACAGAGCACATGCATGTGGATTTCAGGAGATGGCATGGGGGTGGGCAGGGTTTCTGGTTAAGAAGAACAAATGATGATGCGTGGTACAGCCACGTGGCAGGAAAGGGATCCCGCTTGTGTCTCGTTCATCAGTGGAACTCCCCGTCACAAGACGTGGCGTGCAGGAAAGGCATCAAAGAGGGACAAAGAGGAAGGGAGAGACTGAGAGAAATGACAACCTCCAGGGACATTGAGACAACAGCCCCCCTGATTCCCAGCTGCTGGGAACTCTGGGTATTGTAGCTGGCGACATTTGGCCACTTCGCAAAATAAGGTTCAAGATTCTCCTCTGATTTTGCTGAGCTGGAGGGAGCCGTGGACTTGGGAAGACAGGATGAATCCTCCAGGGTCAGTCAGAGTCTACCTGCTACCCTGCCAGGGGTCAGGTGGCAAAAGGCGATGGGCATCTATGAACCTGCAGCTTCCCGGACATGGGGTGGGGGCCAGGGGTCAGAGTCAGTCACTCCTCCTGACTCCCCCATTGCACAAGGCCACAAAATCCAGGGCTGGAGATTTGGGACCCCCCCCACTCCCCCCTGCATCGATTGCTAGGACTGTCTTTCAGGGAGAGCCTCCCCATTCAAGAGCAGTCTTCCTTTGCAGAGGAGGGAAGGCCTATTCCCCCTCCCCCGCAGTTCCTGCTCATCGGCTGCTCTGCCCAGCCTCCACCTTCCGGACCTCAAAAACCATCATCCTCTCCCTCCCCTCCCCCCCCACTGGGGACGGAAGCCAAGCGGCGTGGGGGTCGCTGGCTCCCCTTTCTGCTCCTGCCAACCCCCACAACGCAGAGATGGGGATCTCCTCTCCCATCATCCCTTCCCGCAGGCAGGCCGCGGCTGATGGGAGTCGGAGTCCCTAGCAGGGAATAAGCGAACCATCTCTAAGAGCGGCAGGCCGGCCGGCCAGATGTGCCTGGAGCCTGCGAAGCGGATGACGGAGCTGGCAGTCCCGTCCGGAGGTCTCTGGGGGGCGCCTCTGGCTACGGACCCCCCCCTCCCCCCCCCCCTCCCCCCCCCGCCCTGGCAATGCCAGGCCCGGAGCAGCAGCAGCCCCGCAGCGCCCAGCCCAGGTGCCAACCTTGCCGTCACCCTCCCCCCTCCCCCCCGGGCGCCCCGTTGGGGCTTACCTGCCCTCCTGCTCGCCCGCGCAGCAGCCGCCCCCGCTGCCAGCCAGCCCGGCCAGCCGGACGCGCAGCAGCCCCGACCCCCGCCGCAAAGCGGAGCAATGCCAAGGCTCATTCCAGCGGCCGTCACGTGCGCGCCCCCGCCAATGGCAGCCGCCCGCCTCGGCCCCCCCTTCCCTCCCCACGCCTGGGACTCACCGAGGGGGGGGAGGAGGAGAGAAAATGCCAGGCATGACCCGGGCGGTTGCCATGGCAACTAAGAAACGGGGGGGGGCGCCCCGCCTGCATCGCATCCTCCCGGGGGGGGGAGGAGAGGAGAGTCCGGGCCGAATCGAAAATTAAAGGGGGGGGGGGGCGTCCCGAAGGCTAAGCGGACGCAAGGGAGGCATACAAACATGCGGGAGGGGGCGCGGATGGGGGGGAGGTGCAGCTTGGCAGGGATGGCTTGGAAGGGGGGGTTGGAGAGCCTTGGGGAAAAGCAGCCCCCATGGTTACCCAACGACGCCCCTGCAGAGTAGGCAAGGCTGGGAGGCATCCCGATCCATTCGGGTCTATGACCACCTGCAGAACAGAACAGAATGGAATGGAATGGAATGGAATGGAATAGAATAGAATAGAATAGAATAGAATAGAATAGAATAGAATAGAATAGAATTCTTTATTGTCCAAGTGTGATTGGACACACAAAGAATTTGTCTTTGGTGCATATGTCCTCGGAGTACATAAAAGAAAAGATACGTTCGTCAAGAATCATAAGGTCCAACACTTAATGATAGTCATAGGTTACAAATAAGCAATCAAATCCTATTAGGAAACAGTCAGTATAAATCCTAAGGATACCACCAACAGTGTTGAGGGAATTATTTGTTGAGCAGAGTGATGGCGTTCGGGAAAAAAATGTTCTTGTGTCTTGACGCTATGGAGCACTGCACACCAGAACAACTAGACACAAGGACAGTTTTTTCCAGAACGCCATCACTCTGCTCAACAAATAATTCCCTCAACACTGTCAAACTATTCACTAAGTCTGCACTACTATTACTATTAATCTTCTCATTGTTCCCACCACCCATCTCCTCCTACTTATGCCTGTATGACTCTAACCTTGTTCCTTGCATCCTTACGATTTATACTGACTGTTTCCTAATATGATTTGATTGCTTATTTGTAACCTATGACTATCATTAAGTGTTGTACCTTTTGATTCTTGACGAACGTATCTTTTCTTTTATGTACTCCGAGGACATATGCACCAAAGACAAATTCTTTGTGTGTCCAATCACACTTGGCCAATAAATTTTTTTTTATTCTATTCTATTCTTATCTATCTCTTTATCACTGTCTCTCTCTCTCTCTTTCCTTATCTATCTATCCCTTTATCTATCACTGTATTTGTCTGTCTGTCTGTCTTCTCTCTCTTCTCTCCCTTCTCTCTCTCTCCCTCTCCTTTGCCAAGGTTGATCACCAGGTGGCGCCAGAGCACTTTCATAGCCATGGAAAGGCTGATTTTTGATAGTTTTTGAGCTCCTCTGCTTTTCAAAAAAAAAAACCCACCTTGTTTTCCTTTTTTAAAAAAATCTTTCTTTTTTTGCAAAGGGGTGAAAATCACCCACCCACCCCCCACGCAGCAGAGAGCAGAGGTCTCTTCCCAGCTGCAGACCCCCATTGGGGAGTTTCTCCCAGTCTGATAACCCCCTTTCACTCAGGAGCATCTTGGACCCTCTCGTCCTTAACTGGGTCTCCCGTTTTCTTCTGGCCAGGCTGGCACAAATGGGCGTCCTTCACCCATTTCGGAGCCCGGGGTTGCTGGGATGCTGAAGGTCAACCTGATAAGCCAGGAGGACAACTGGATGCAGCTGCCGGGCTCTCCCACACTCCAGGGAAGGCGCGAAGGAGATAGCGAAGGAACAGCACAAGCAGAAGATAGACAACGTGTCTCTGGCTTCAAGGATGCAGGGACTGAAATCCAGCTTAGATTTGGAGCTGGGGGTCTCTGGTCTGCGGGATGGGGGCCAAAGCTGCCTTTGGGGGGCCACAAGTCGGTCGGCCTTGGGGTCCCCTCCGGGGGGCATCCGACAATGCCACCCATCCTGGTCCTTCAGCAGTGGCCCATGAAATCCGTCCATCTCAGCAGATTCTGGCAGCTAGACGGTGCCCCAAAGCTGCCTTCCGCCCTCCGAGGATGGGGTGGGTGGGAGGGGCTCTGAAGGCAGTGGGGCATAATGGGCTCGAGGGGGGGGGGCTCATTCATAAGCCTACCCAGACGGGGCCTCACGTTAATCAGAGTTAATGAGGATGATGGTTGCAGAATTGCAAAGCTGGTGGTGGGTTGGTTGTTTTTTTTTGCAATTTGGCAAAGGATCCGCGAGTGTTGCCGACGTGCAAGGGTGTGTGTATTTGTGCACCTGGAAGTGTGTGTGGCGCTCCGTCAGCTGACCGGCCTAGCAAAGCTGCAAATAGACGGTCAGGATTGGATGGATAGCGGATCATTCAATAGGTGAAGCTTGAGCGAGCTGACTTTTCCCAGAGAGATCTCTGGGGGTTTGGTGGTCAGCCACTGCGCACCAAAAGGGTCAAAAGCTGTAAAGGGCCCTTCCTCCACCATTCACAAGTGCGTGTGTGTTTTTGTGTGATTGCAGGATTAGTGAATTAGTGCCAAGAATCTGGTAATTCTCAAATAATTAAGGAGCAAGAAAGGAAAGGAAAGCCAACTCCATCCACGCTTCATTTCCCCAAAGTCTTAAAGCAAAATGTGCCCCCCCCCAATCTGAGTGAGAATCTGGGGGTGCAGAGGGGGGGACACAGACCCCCAATTCTCTAACCAGCATTAAGCTTCCCAGCAAAGTTGTGAGGTTAATGCAACAATCGGTTGTCTGTATGATCATGTGACCAAAATTCAGAGGCTCAGCAACTGACCTGAACTTATGACGGTTGCCCTGTCCCGGGTCACGTGATTCCCCTTTTGTGACCTTCTTACGAGCAAGGGGGAAACCTGATTCACTTAACAACCGTGTGACTTACTGTAGATTCAATTAACAACCCTTAAGTAATGGAACAAAGGGAAGGAAGGAAGGAAGGAAAAGAAAGAGGAGGGATAGAGTAGAAAAGGAAGGGAAGGGATGGATGGATGGATGGAAGGAAGGAAGGAAAAGAAAGAGGAAGAGAAGGAGAAAGAGAGGGAAGGGAGGGGAGGGGGAGGAAAAAGAGGGATGGATAGAAGGAAGGAAGGAAAAGAAAGGAGGGAGAAAGGGGAGGGGAGGAAAAAGGTATGGAAGGAAGGAAAAGAAAGGAGGGAGGGAAGACTGAGCATGTTTTGCCAGTGTTCAGCACTTCCCTTAGTGGGTTTTCCATTGTGTGGCAAAGCAGCCAGGAGGTGGGGGCTGTTTTCAGGGAACCTCCCCCCCCCCAGCCTCCAGCCAGGGCTTTCAGCCGCAGAGCCCCCCTTTGTGTGGGCACATTCCTCCATGTGCTTCGCAAGCCCACCAACAATGGAAGCTGCCAGGCTGAAGCTTTTCCGCTTGGCTCTTCCCGGCTGGCCAGGCTGCCCTGCCAGCCCCCTCCCTGCCCCCCCCCCAGCCCCAGGCCACTCCAATTTGCACCGTCAGTGGATTCCCAAACAGCGTCCAGGCCCCTTTGGGGGGGGGACCCGGTTCCTCTCCTTTGTCTGCTTTTCTTCTCCAGAAAACTGCAGAGACCCCCCTTTGTTGGCAAAAGCTGGTGCCAAGAAATCTTCCCTGCAGCCCTAGAGAGGGCGCAGCGATTTAGAGCAAATCCCCCCCCCACATGAGATGGGCAGTTAATATAATAAATAGAATAGAATTGCAGAATAAAATACAGAATGGAATGGAAAGGAACGGAATAAGAAATAGAATATAGAATAGAATAGAATAGAATTAGAAATATTATATAATGTGTCTCCTCAATTAATTTGCTTTTATCTATTTAGGCGCATGCCCATCCCATGATCCACTTTAAATACAGGTAACCCTCGACTTACAACAAGAATTGAGCCCAACATTTCGGAGGCCAAGCGAGACAATTGTTAAGTGAGTTTTGCCCCATTTTATGACTTTTCTTGCTACAGTTGTTAAGCGAATCGCTAGAACTGTTCAGTTAGTGACCCGGTTGTTAAGTGAATACCGGCATTCCTGTTGACTTTGCTGGTTGGAAGGCCTCCTAAGGAGATCATGCGACCGTCGTGAATATGAGTCAGTGGCTGAGTGTCTGAATTTTGATCACGTGGCCGCAAGGATGGCTGTGACGGTCCTAAGTCCCTTTTTTCAGTGCCGTTGTAACTTCAAACGGTCACTAAACGAACCATCGTAAGTCGAGGACTACCTGCAAAGTATTTGGCCCTTGCCTACAGCTAAAACTGTACAGTGAACGGGACACACAAACTTAAGAACATTGAGAGACGCCCCAAATTCACCTCTGAAGAATATCAGTTCAATGGGGTGTTTCCCCCCCCTTTTTTTTTTTGCAGGAAAAAGAAGAGGGGAAAAAAACCCAATTTCTCCCTGTCTGAAGAATTGAGAATAAGAGTCGGTTTGTTCGAAGGATGCGGTTCTCCTGAGTGGGCAGGAATTTTAAGCGTGGGGAACATTTTCACCTGGGCTCCACCCTGGCCGAAGGGCGGATTGCGGACCGTGAGCAATATTTACTCACTGAGTAAGAAATCAGTCATCCTGTAGTAGAGACAGGACGTGCCATTTTTCTGGTGAGTAAAAGTCTTTTAAAGAGACCAAGAGCATCTCGGGGGTCTATGAAGAGCAGGGAAGGGATGAGGAATCTCAGAGTTGGGAGGGACCTTAGAGGTCCTCTAGTCCAACCCAAGATCTGCCCAAGATCACAGAATCATAGAAACATCATAAGGCTCAGCAAAGAGTCCATGGGGAAGCCGGATTTGCTTCACAATCATCTTACTGCAGGAATCCACTTAACAACTGAGTCAAGAAAGGCCGTAAAACGGGGCAAAGTTCACTGAACCAGTGTCTTGCTTAGCAATGGAAATTTTGGGCTCCATTGCAGTCGTAAGTCGGGGACGAGCTGTCCTATCCCTGGACCAAGCGCTTCCTGCGTTTTGCAAATGGGGATCAAGAGCCAC